CCCGGGCCTCCCTCCTCCGTCCCTCCTTCCATCCCGCCCCCTCCCCTTGCCTCCATTCCCTCCTCTCTCCTCTTCCTTGGACGGCCCCGCCATAGCGCCAGACAGGCCCCGCCAGAGCGAGCGGGGCATTGCTATACCCTATCATTTCACAATTTGCTTTCCCCCTCCCACCCCTCAAGGGCGGCCCCAGCAGAGCGAGAGCCTTCTGACTACGCGTTTCTTTGCGTCGATGGCATGGGCCCGAGAACGCCGGAAATCGTCGTCGTGACCACACCAGGGCTTACAGCGGCACCAGTGCCTCACCTGCGACTGGAACCTAAGCCCGCGAGTAGCGCACGCGTGGCTTTAGTATACATATATATATACTTATATATATGTATACATTTAAACAAGCATAACACATGCATATCGGTGTATGTGTATATGTATATGTTTGTGTGTATGCATATGCATATATGTATGTGTATACATATGTATATGTATATGTATTTGTATATGTATATGTATTTGTGTATGTCTATGTATATGTGTATGCATATGTATATGTGTATGTATATGTGTACGTGCATGTATATGTATACATATATATATATATATAGAGATGTACATGTATATGCATATGCATGTATACATATGTATGTTAATGCATATGTTTATATTTATGTTCATGTGTGTGAATCTGTGTATGTGTATGTATCGGCATTTGTTTATTCATATGTACATGTATATGTGTATGCGTATGCATATGTATATGTCTATGTACATGTATAAGCATATTCACATACATTTGTAAACTTTTATGTGTGGTTATAGGTGTATGTGTGTATGTATGTATGCATGCATGCATGTATGTATGTATGTATGCATGTACGTATGTATGTATGCATGTATGTATGTAAGTATGTATATATGTATGTATGCATGTATGCATGGATGTATGTATGCATACATGCATGTATACATGTATGCATGTATGTATGTATGTATGTATATATGTATGTATGTATGTATGTATGTATGTATGTATGTATGTACGTACGTATACCTGTATGTATATGTATGTATATTTGGAGGTGCTATGTGCATTCGTATTTGCATTTGTACTTGTAATTGTTTTTGTATATGTATATGTCGATGTAGATGTGTATATGTATCTATAGTTTCGCGGCGTAGGCCTGGCCCCCGCGCTCGCCGCCGGGCCTGCGGCGGCCGCTGCTGGGGCGCGTGGCCGGCTGTAAAGCGCCGACGTTCGAGGTTTTCGGGCGCCGACGTTCGAGGTTTTCGGGCTTTTCCGTTTGTTTCCCAGAGGTCTTCCAGCCTCGGGATTCTTTTTGGCGGCTTCGCCGCGTCGAGAGCCTTCCCGGGGGTGCCAGAATCGTCTCGATCGGCCGCGGGAGACCCGAGGTATGACCTGGAAGCCAGATCTCCGACACTTTAAGAGGAGCAAAACATTTTTTGTTTGTCATGTTTCTTCTGGATTTCGTCCGCTGGGGCCCGTCATCCCCCCCTGGGGAAACCAAAAACGGATCCGGGGCGAAAGACTACCCCCGGGGAAGGAGTCGGGAGATCTGGGGCCAGAGGTCGAACAAATAATCTCGGAGGATGTTTCAGTTCCTCTCTCCATATGCATCCAACGTTTTGAAGCAAATCAAGACGGAGGGCTTTCGTCGTTTTCGTCCTCTGGGGGCCTTTGCCAGGGCCTCGGGCCGTCAAGCAGCGCTTCAGGTCACCCCGCCCAGGTCGCCGCCGTAGGGTTCGTAGCCTCGTCGCAGGTGGCTCTTCTCTCCCGGCCCCTGGCCCGGCCTGTCTGCTTGCGGTCGCTGCTTTCTCTCCTCCTTGTCCTCCTCCTCCCCCTCCTCCCCCTCCCTTCGCTTCTGCTCGTTGCTTCCCTCCCTTTCCTTTCCTCCTGCTCCCTGCCTGCTGTCTCCGCCTGGCCCGTCTTTTGCCTGCCCGCCCGCCCCGCCGGCCCTGGCCTCACGCCTGGGAGTTCGTCGTCGTCTGCCTGCTTCTCTCCTCCTCGTCCCCTTCCGCCGGACAGCACAGCCTGCTCGGAACCAGCGTGGCGGCATATAGGGGCCTGACAAGCTGGTCCTGGTGCCTTCCGATTTGCTTGCGATGGCGTGTGTAAAACAGGAACGCTTCAGGATGAAAAGCTGGCCCGGAGGAAGAGGTCGGGACTCCTGTGTGGGGACCCCGATGGATGAAGTCAAGGCGTCAGGTGACTGGGTCCTGCGCTTCAGGAGGTTGGCTCCCGGTCGAAGGCCTCTTCGAGCATAGTCAAGACGCAAAGGTAAGGATCGACTAGACGTAAGGGTGACCTTCCGCCGGAATGAATGGGTTCCCCCGGTCGCCAAACGCGATGCGATAGTAGCGTCCTGCGCGCCTGTGTTTGGTCCCCCCGCGGTCCCCCAGAAGCTGCGCACCAAAAGGCCACTCTTACCCATGGTCACTCTTGCGTGTAGTCGAAAGTGGAGGGGGAGGAGGACGAGGAGGAGCAGGAGGAGGAGGAGGAGGAGGAGAAGGAGGAGGAGGAGGAGGAGGAGGGAGGAGGAGGAGGAGGAGGCAGGAGGAGGAGGAGCAGGAGGAGGAGGAGGAGGAGGAGGAGGAGGAGGAGGAGGAGGAGGAGGAGGAGGAGGAGAGGAGGAGGGAGGAGCCGCTGGAGGAGCGAAATTTCGAGGAGGGGGAGAAGAAGGAAAGGGGAGGCGAGCCGGAAGGGGCAGGAGCGGGGACCCGTTCATGGCCGAGGCCCGCCGCGGCCAGGGAAGCCTTTTTCGCCTCCCTGCTCCGCGCCCCTTGCCGTCGCACGACGACTGCAGCCCAAGGGGGACGTCTCGGCTCTCCTCCCCGCCTGCTTTTCTCGCACGGTCGGCGTCGGCGCGTGGGCGGCGCCCGGTTTGCCCGGCGACTCTTTGAAGCGCATCGCAGTCGAGATTGTGTCGGGGGCGGAAAAGAGGGTGGTGATGACTAGGGGGGGGTGGATATCATGGCGTGGGCCATGATATCTCCCCAGATTTCGTGGCGCCTCTTCTTGTTTCATTACGTCCCTGGCCCCCCCGCTGGGCCGCGCACATGCCGCCGGTCATGATTTGCCCCCCCCCCTCTTGGACACCCCCCTCTTGGCCGCTCCCGATTGTGCAGAGTGGAGTTGGAGTTCGCTTGTCTTCGTCCATCGCGCCTGGCGCTCGCAGCTTGTTTTCCGTGGCCAGGCTGCGCGCGCGTGTGGGCCGAGTTGCCGCGTGGGCTCCGGCGCCTGCTTGGTGGGATGGCGGCGTGGGCAGAGGTTGGCCAGGCCTCGGATTCCCGACCACATTTTCTCCAGACGGGGTACGACTGCCACGTCCCTCCGTGGAGGGTGGGGCGCTCGAGGAAACAAAGGCTTCTACGGGGGAACAGAAGTTCTCGCTCAGCCGGAGGACGCCTGGCGCAGAGCCCTCGGCATGCCAGACTGCATTACCTGGCTCCCTTCGCCCTCGCCCCCTGCTCCTGGCCCACCAAGCCTGGCTCCCTCCCGCCTCCCCCTCCGGGCCTCTCTCCCGTGCCCTCCCTGCCCGGAGGGCTTGAGGCCTGGGCGTGAACCGCCTCCGCAGGCCCTCCCCGGCACTTCCGAGCGCTGGCACCTCGGCGCGCGCACGCGGACTTTCGTAGGAGGGAGGGAGGAGGGAGGAGGGAGGAGGGAGGAGGGAGGAGGGAGGAGGGAGGAGGGAGGAGGGAGGAGGGAGGAGGGAGGAGGGGGAGGAGGGAGGAGGATGGAGGGAGGAGGGAGGAGGGGGAGGGAGGAGGGAGGGAGGAGGGAGGAGGGAGGAGGGAGGAGGGAGGAGGAGGAGGATGGAGGAGGAGGGAGGAGGGAGGAGGATGTGGCTCCCTCGCCCTCCCCGGCCTCTCCGGCCGCCTCGCGCCTCGGCGCGCTCCCTTTTTCCTCGCGCCCCGCCGTGCTCCGGCGCACCCCGCCGCTGCCCGACCGCCGTCCGACCCTCCCTGCGGCCGCGGGAAAAAAATCTCCTCCTCCTCCTCCTCCTCCTCCTCTTCCTCCTCCTCCTCCTCCTCCTCCTCCTCCTCCTCCTCTCCTCCTCCTCCTCTCCTCCTCCTCCTCCTCCTCCTCCTCCTCCTCCTCCTCCTCCTCCTCCCCCTCCTCCTCCTCTCCTCCTCCTCCTCCTCCTCCTCCTCCTCCTCCTCCTCCTCCTCCTCCTCCTCCTCCTCCTCCTCCTCCTCCTCCTCCTCCTCCTCCTCCTCCCTCCTCCTCCTCCTCCCCCTCCTCCTCCTCCTCCTCCCCCCCTCCTCCTCCCTCTCGAATCTGGCGCGTCGGCGCTTTCGACGAGCTCCCGAGCCACAGGGCCCTTGATGCATCGGGTTGGGTGCATGTTGGGTGCGTCGGCCTCGCAGGACCTCTTTGAGCGCCGAGGCTATGTGCCTTTGGGCGCAGGGGATTTGAACATCCGTTTCGAGGTCGGTGCGATTTACCGCTGGGGTGCCTGTTGGCTGCCACGTGATTGCGTTCCCCATCTTGCCTCCTCCTTCTCCTTGCGAAAAATGAACCAGCGGGGCGCCCAGGGGCAGACGCCTTAGAGCTTTCAGGTGGGTGTGTCGTGCACTTGATTTTGCGCAATTCAGCGGCTGCAAAACACGTGGACCCCACCGGCTGCAAAATACGTGGACCCACCCCCAGGGCCCATGATGGCTGAGAAGGGAGCCGTTTTCCGTGAGGTCCCTGGACCAGGACTTCTGGGACGCATCATCGGGCCCGCAGTCAGACGCATGTAGAGTTCCAAGATGTTTCCCATGATTCCTTGGCCTGACAGGGCCTCTGGGGACTTCGAGCCAGGTGGACTTCGTATCAGATCTCGCGCAAATCAGCGGCCCCATAATTATGGTCCGGTGGTTCAGTACTTCTGATTCGATCGAGGCCAACTTTGCAAGTGGTCTCGCGCAGTGCAGTGGGCTCGCAGGGATCCTGGAGCCTTATTTTCGGGGCTTCAATCAAGGACCTCGCCCCGAGCCCCCCGATGCGGACGTTTTGTCGTGTCGCTGGTTGCGGTGGCCCCTGGAGGGCACGAGTGCCTACTCGGCCACGCGTACGAGTGACCTTTCGTCAGGGTGACCTGTGCTGTGGGACCGCAGGGATCCCGCCAGCACTGACTGGCGCGTTTTATTTTGCCTGGATCTGGCCTCCACCGCGTTTCTGGAGCCGCGCACCACAGCTCACTCGTTGCCTGGGGTCACTCTCGCGTGCCCCCAGCCGACCCGCAGTTGGACTCGAATGGGAGTTCTCGGAGGGTCGCACGGGCGTCCCCGCCGGCCTTCTGCGATTCGAGTCGGGGCCCGACGGCCAGATCGGCGGGCGGCGCCACCAGCCTAATGGCGGACGCCCGTCTCCGCACCTGTGTGCACACGCGGGCGCACACGGACTGCATGTTCTGAGTGCGGTCTCCCCTCCCCCGCGACCCCTCCGCCTCCCGCCGCGTCTGCTTTCGTGCTTCAGTTCGCCTCGGGAGCGCCCTTCCGTCGCTCGAGCGCTGCGTGAGTCAAGCGGCCGCAGACCAAAAGTGTGCCCACGCGGGTCTGGTGCCCGTGTGGGGCCACCTTGGGGGGGGGGAGCGGAGGGAGGTCTCCCCTTGCCGCGCCCCCGCTCTCGCCCCAGTCTTACGCGACCACTTGCGAATGCTACCCCTGCGGGTCCAGTCGACGCTGGAGCACTGGACACCCCCGTTGGGCTCCACCTGGCTGCAGACATCCTGAAGGTTCCGACTCCCTGGCCGCTTTTTCAGAAGTCTGACCTGCAGGGGTGCGGTTCACATGTAGCCGAAGCCCGCTTGCAGCCAGCCGAGGAGTCCCTCTACGACACGCTCGGCGTGGAGCGAGGGGCCTCGGAGGCCGAGATCAAGAAGGCCTACAGGCGCGCCGCGCTCAGGAGTCACCCGGACAAGGCCCCCGAGGGCGAGCGGGAAGCCTACGAGGATACGCCGCCTGGAAAGGGGCAGACCCGGCCACCTGTCCGCGCCACCTCAGTCCTCGGTTGCTCACGCTTTCAATTCGGAAGGCGGTTCATGTGCTTCCTTCGACTTGGGACCTAATTTGGTGCCGCCTTTACCCGAAGTGCGTCATGGGTGGGGGCCCCGGATCTGCTCCGAGGGAGGCTATGCTTTTTGTCTATTGCGAATTTTTCTGGTTACACTTTGCAACTCGGCTCTTGACCCTGCTTGTGGGCGATTTCCGTTTCTTTTCATGCACTTCGACCGCTATGCGCGGCTGCGTCGGTCCAGATCCGGATTTGGGCTGGCTGGACCGCCCCTCGAGCCCCCAAGGGGTGACCGTTCCTGGCCATCGAGACTTGAAGCCGTACGTCGTTGGGATCGGGATCAGTGCAGGCATGAGAGTATTTGGCGCGCGTGCTGTCGGTGTGCAAAGGTAGAATCGTGCGGCTGCCCTAGCGGATGCGGTATCCTACTGTCGTCTTCGGGATTGGTTCGGCATCATACAGACATACTTCTAATACAATCGAAGACGCCTACGGCGAATCACCGTCGCCCCCTGCCTTTTAGGATATGCCTACGAGGCCAAACGTTTGGGCAAAGTTTGTCCACGCTATTGGACCATGCGTTCCCCCAGCCGTTGCGGAAGCTCTTCGGGGAACACGTGGGGGAGGAAGAGGAGGACGAGGAGGGGAGGGAGGAAACGGGAGAAAAAGGCGAGAGGCAGGAGGACGCCGCTTGGGAGCTTCTGGGGCCACTGTTGGGGCCTCCTGGGAGCTTCCTGCCAGTCGTTTGAAGGTCCCTGGGGACCTTCTTGGGTCTCTTGGGGGCCTTTGGGGGCTTCTTGGGGGCCTCCGTCGGAGGCCCTTTTGTATGCCTCTCTGAACCGACTTGGGGCCCTCTTGAGGCGCTTCAGGGCCGTCTTGGAGGCCATCTTTGGCGTCTTGGGGCCTCTTGGGCCGTCTTTGCGCCCTCTTGGGGCGTCTTAGAGGCTTCTTGGTCCGTCATGGGGTCAGCTTGGAGGCCTTTGGGGCCATCTTGGGGCGATCTTGGGGGCCTCTGGGGCCGTCTCGGGCCGTCGGAGAACCGAACACATGCAGAAGCCAGAAACCTTCAACAAAAGCCCACGGACAATCAATGATTTTGGCCTCTTCGGCCCTTCCCGGAGGCCCTTCTAGAGGCCCCTTGGGCCGTCTTAGGCGCCTCTTGGGCGCTTCTTCGGCCGTCTTGGTCCTGGAGACATCTTGTGTCCGTCTTGGAGGCAATCTTGGGACTATCTTGGGCTCTCTTGGTACCGTCTTGGCCATGTTGGAGGCATCTGAACCATTTTGGAGGCCACCTTGAAGCCATCTGAAGCGAAAAAGCCGACGAGTCAGGCAGCAAGCGCGCTGTGCCAAAAGCCCAAGGGGACTTCTAAAAGAACCACAAACATTTCAGATCGTCCAGCACGCTGGGCACCCCTGTGGCAAGCAAACAGGGGGCGGCAGATCTAGTGGCCTTCGGCCCATCCCGCCATCCTGCGTGGGCTGTGGGTCAGAGTTCTCAGGGCTGCTTCTTGGGTCTCTTCGGGGCACTCTTGGGGGCAGTTTTCGGGCCTCTTGGGAGCCTCTTGGGGGCATCTTGGGGGCCTCTGGGAGGCCTCTTGGGGGCATCTTGGGGCCTCTTAGAGGGCATCTTGGAGGCCTTGGGACCTCCTGGGCGCCCCTCGGGGTCGTCATTTGGGCCTCTTGGGCCGTCTTGGGCGCCTCTTGGGAAAAGCGACTTGCGATGGTGTCCTGGCAATCTACAGGAAAATACGTAGAACACATAGGGCTCGAGCCACAGTAGAGGGGCAATCTATAGGAACATATGTAAAGCATAGGATTACCATAATTATCATCACCACTACCATCATCAGCAATATCATTCTCATCGCTTGCATCTGAAGGGCATCTGGAAATCTACACACCTTAGCTGCTATTAGGGTACTTTGCTGGCCTAATTTTGGCCTCTAGGGGCCCTCGTGGGAGGCGCCTTGGAGGCCCGCCAACTCGGACAATTTGGGCTCCGGGCCCCTTTCCAGATCCAGCGGGAGTGAGGATTAAGACCGAGAGGATTGGGCCAAGGATCTGATGACACGCCCACTCCGTGCCCGTGACCGCGCACCGCAGGCTCGGCTTGCACGTGCCTTGGCACGAGGCTGAAGTTGTCCCTGGGCCGTGCCATCCATTTGCAGGCTGTTTTTCCTCTCCCACTCCCCGAGTCCCGCCCAAAAAGTTTGACCTGGCAGGAACGGGTAACTCTGGGATACATCCCCAGGGGGCCATTCGGACGCACCGCTATCGGGGATGGACACCGCCCTACTGTATATCCCAGGGTTGGGCCCACGATTTTCGGTCCAGTCGAAAACCCCCCGAAGTCGGGGATTGGGGTCGCCATATCCACCGTTATCCATTCATTGGTTCTGCATGTTTGGCGTCTCCCACGATTGTGCGGACCCGGCAGGTGTTTTGCCGGTTCCCTCTCCTCTCCTCCCGTGCTCTTCCTGCCTCTTCCCTGCCGCCGCCTCGCCCCTCCCGCTCTTCCCATCTCCACCTCTCTTCCCTGTTTCGTGTGTGCCCGCACGTGCTCTACACCTTAGGCGATGCTTAAGAAAACCAGAGTTTTCGGCCAGAGTCTCGATTATTCTTAATGTTTCAATGTAAATCCCAAACTTTGAATAGACATTCTTGGGTTTTTATTCAAGTTCTGAGACTATGAATTTCTTAACCCATAATTTCTTAAGCATCTCGCAGGGTGTAAGGTCGGGGTTCGTGGCTCTATCAGGTTTTCGGCGGCGGCGGCGAGCCCAGGGGGGGGAAGCGAGACGGGGCGGGCCTCCTCCGGGTGCTCTCGGAGGGCCTCGGGCCTCCCGAGAAGCTTTTTTGGACCTGTCCCCGAAGGCACCTGAAGACTTTCCAGAGTGCCAGCGGGCTCCCGAGAGGCCCCGCCGCCTTCTGTGAAGGCCTGCTCCTCACCACCCACCAAACCACCCCAACCCAACCCGAAGGTCTCGATTTGACCTCCATTTCCAGTTGGGGGGGGGTCGGGGAACCTCGAGAAAACACATATGGAACCCGTACCCCCCCCAACCCGAAATTCGGGTCTTCGGGTTGGGTTGGGGTGGTCTGGTAGGTAGTCAGCTCCTTCTCACTCCCCCCAGGCGCGCCGCCGAGCATGTTTCGTGTCTTCCATGGTTGTGCGGACCTGGCAGGCTTCTGCTCGGATGCCACTTTGGACGTCCTCTGTGCGAGAGTCGGAGCGGTGACGTGGCAGGGAATCCGCTCTTGGGGGTGTGCGTCCTGCTTCCTGCTGCGTCCTCGAGCGGCTGATCTTCAGGGGCTCGCCTTTCGGCGCTGACCTCGCCACTCCACGCCGCGTCCTGTCCGAGAGGCCTGGTGGCCGGGCCACCCCGCCTCTCGGAGCAGCTTCCTGGGCTGTGAGCATCTGCGGATGCCCGGCGCCAGGAGCCGTCGAGCATGACGTCCACGGCTCCCAGCTTCAGACTCGGTTTTCCTTTCGCCCTGGCATCGGGCCTCTAGGACCGTGAGGGCACGATCGAGATCGACCGTGCACGCTGGTCGTAATCCCAGATCCCAGATCCTAAAGCAGGTATTTTTGGATTCTCAGATCCCACTCTAATTCAAGCGCCTTCCTACTTTGGGAGCCGATCTGCTTTTGCTGTGTTCTGTTATTCTCTGGGCGGGCCCGATCCCAATCTACTTTATCCAACTTCCGACTTCAAGTTTTTTCCTACTTCTTCCGACCGATGTATAACGCTGGAAAGGCGGACCGGGACCAGAGGGTTGCACGGTTGCCTGTGCCGCCTGCTTGCGTGCCGCGTATGCCCAACAGGCAATTCTTGGTTCGCTGTCTGCGATGTCGAGAGGCGTCCGCCGAGCGGGCGCATCCCACGGTTCAGCGACATTACGTTGCTGGAGGCGAGGCTCGCAAGGGCATGGGCTCAGAGGGCGCTAGAGGTGCACTCTGTGGCCCTGCAGCGAAAGTGTAGGTGATGGACTTCTTAATCGTTTGCGTGTCTGTTCCTGCTAGTGAGGTGGTTGCTGCTTTTTGTTGTTCGTTCTGCTTTTTCATGGTCGTGTTGAGGTGTGCTCTTCGCTTTCTTCTGCAATTGTTCTCTTTGTAGGCGCAAGATGTGGCGCCATCTACGTGCAGGCTGCATGAGGTGGAATTTACCACAGGTGGGGCAGGCCGCCGTTCGGCCTGGTGCTGCATCGGCTCCTCGCTTCTGTGAACCATTTCGGAATGGAGATGGCCATTACCATGCGTGCCGACCTTGTTCCAGGGCCGCGGTGTGCGGACGTAGCGAGACAACTGCTTGTGGGAGCCGCTTGGTAGGCGCAGTGGCAGCAGTATGAATCAAAGGATGCAGCATGTGGCCTCTCGCGTTGCCTTCGCGCTTGGTTCCTTGTTACGGCGGCCCCAGGCAGCGCTCGCACAATGCAGGGCGTCCGCGCTATGGTAGCATGCTTGCACAGACTCGACGCATAGCCAGATTACAGTGTTTGCTGGGTCCACTCGGGCTCGTATTTCGTTCCGCCCAAACTCCATACGCTCCCTGGGCGGAGGATACCGATGATGCTGCGGATGATGATGGTGATGGTGGTAAAGCTGATGATGGTGATGGTGGTGATTATGCAGTTGTTGATGATGATGGTGATGACGCTGAGTATGCTGATGCTTATGATGTTGATGATGATGGTGATGGTGGTGATGACGATTCTGATTACGATAATGATAGGGCTGCTGCTGCTGTCAGTGCTGATGATGCCGATGCTGATGATGCTGATGCTGCTGAGGATGTTGGTATTGATGTCGTTGTTCTTGTTGTTGTTGTTATTGCTGCTGTTGTTGTTGTTGTTGTTGTTGTTGTTGTTGTTGTTGTTGTTGTTGTTGTTGTCGTTTTCGTCGTCGTTGCTGCTGTTACTGTTGTTGTTTTCGATGTTGCTGTTCTTCTTCTTGTTGTTGGTGTTGTTGCTGTGAAAGTGATTACTGTTATTGTTGATGGTGATGCTGGTGATGATGATGCTGATGATGATGATGACGATGACGATGCCGATGATGATGCTGATGCTGATGATGACGATACTGATGATGATGCTGATGCTGATGAGGATGATGATGATGCTCGTGATGAGGATGATGCTGAGGATGCTGATGATGCTGATGCCTATCATGCTGCTTCTGATGATAATGATGAGGCTGATGCTGCTGATGATGCTGATGATGCTGCTGATGATGATGCTGATGACGCTGATGATGATGCTGATGCTGAAGCTGATGTTGTTGATTATGGAGGTTCTGATGATAATGATGCTGATGCTGATGCTGATACTGATGTTGTTTGTGATGGTGGTTCTGATGATGCTGATGATGAGAAGGATGGAGACGAGGCGGCGGTGGAGGATACACAATCGCAGCAGGGAAAGGAGGAGAGGGAGGACCAGAAGACGGAGGAGAAGGATCATGAGGCGATTCGAAGAGGAGCAGGAGCAGGGAGAGGAGGAGGAGGCGGATAGTGATGAGCACGAGCTGTGCAGTGACCGATCGTTTCAAGTAGGCGCTGGCGCTAATCGTGGACAAGCCCGTCCTGGGCCTGGGATCGGTGCGCGGAGCAGCCTTGCCAGCAGGGTCTGCGTGACGATCCCGGACCCGAGATGGGCACGGCCCAGGCCAGGCTGTCGGCGCGCCAGGGGAGGCAGGGCGAGGGGGGCAGGCCTTCGAAGAGGGCCCCTCTGCTCGCAGAGGCCGCCTCGTCTGCAGAGGGACCCCCGCGGCACCCTTCCCGAGGGCTGGGCCGCGGCTTCCCGGCAGCGCCCCCCGGCCTTCTCGGCAGGCCGCCCCCCGGGCCAGGGCCCCAGCGTGCGCGCCGCCGGCCGCCGCCCCGTGGGGGGCGCCGGGGTCGAGGGCTGCCAGTCGGCCAGCTCCTGCCCCCCCCTTTTCTGCTCCCTCCCGCCCACTGACCGTCGAGAGTAACTAGGCATTTCGGGAACTCCCGGGTTTTAAAATCTACTTTTTGGGCGCTTTCCTACCTCAAGGATCGAGTGGTGTTCACCCTTCCCCCCTCTTCAGGGGGCGGACGGAAGCCCAATCTGCGTCCAACGCGCCTTCATGCTTAATGCTTCTACCTACCTCTTCCGGCCGATGGGTAGCCTCGCACGGACAGGAGAGGTTCAAGCAGATCTCCCGGGCCTACGAGATATTGTCCGACCCCCAGAAGCGGCAGGTGTACGACGCCCGCGGCGAGGCGGCCTTCAACGGCCAGGACGGGAGCGGTGGCCATATCCCCTACGTGTTCCAATGGACTACCCTTCTTCGGCCGCCCTCCCTTTCCCCTTCCATTTTCATGCATTGTGGCACAATTCGCCTCAACGTTATCCACGTTGTCATTGCTCTTCCGCCAGCGCAGTTACTCTGCCTAGTCGCCCACGTAAAAAGTGTTCCACTGAATTATCCGCCTGCTCCTCCTCCTTAGCCTTCTCTGCGTGCTCTTCATCTTCCCGATTCTGCTTCTGCTCCTGCTTCTGGTCCTGCCCCGGCTGCTTCTCCGAAGCAATGTCGGCCCAGGTAGCTGTGAACTTGGCACCACCTCTGTCGTCATAATGGGGTTGGCAATTAAGTGTTCCAGCGCGGCCGTCATGCGCGCCTTTGAATTGCGTAGCTTTTGAGTCAGATGTTCTAGTGCGGTCATGATGGTGACCCTCGTAGACCACCATTGCCCCACAAGCCAAATTGACACCGTCCGAGCAGTTCTTCTCAGTCATCTCAACGACCTTTGACGCACGCCTGCGAGGACTGATGCCGCTACCCTTGGGGCCCTGCGCCATGCTTTGGTGCACCTCCTGTCTGCTAGCATCGGCGCCAATGGCCAAAGTCGGCAAACACATAGAGTAATTCTAATGGTTGTGGGCCCGCCAAGATCACACTGAATAGCCGAACGGTCTTATGTGTGAACGGGTGGCCGCCTTGGAGGCTGCGTTCGAGAAGGCAGATGCGGCCAGTATTGCGGAGTGGTAGCGCCCTTAGGTCCCGAATTTCTTCACGCCTGGTTGCAAGCACTAAGTGGCTCCCGCCGCCACCGTGGAAGCGCTCATCGAGTGGCTGGCTTCCTCCAAAGCGGATGCCATCTATCGTGCCGTGTATGACAATGATTTGGCTAAGCCTGTTCGTTGTTGTGGAGCTGGTCGGGGGCGCCGCTGGCGATTCCCATGCCACCTGCTATGACAAGGCAGCTTCGCATAGGGTCGGGTTCGCGGAAATTCACGCGTCGCGATTGTGTCCCCTGAGTCCCGACGTCGCGAAACAATTCAAGCATCGTAATGAATCACGACTGGAGCACCAGACCCAATATTTTTGTGCCTTTTCTCGGGCCGGATCGATTTGTGCGTGTCCGGGGGTCTAGAACCTGGTGAAACTGCCCGTTGCAAAAAAGAGCAACACCAGGATCTCAAGGTCTGTGAATCCTGCTCGCACACCTCGTGCGCAGTGGCCGGAAGCACTCCCGCAAGGCACGCCACAGATCCTCTCCACATTCTCTCCCGGAGCTCGAGTGGAGGGCGCCTCGCGTGCCTGGCCAGCTCCTGCTTCGCGAGCCTCCGATGGCTTGGGCCACTGTCGGGTCGGGCGAAAGGGGGGGTTTGGGAAAGGGGGGGTTACGAAATCTGCTGCATGCAGCTGGTTTCGGCCCGACCGAGGGGCCCATTCCTCGATACATGGGCGCCTCCCAGCGCCGGGAGGCGCCGGGAAAATCAGCTACGTGAGCTGATTCTCAACCCCCCTTTGCTATCCCCCCCTTTCGCCCGACCCGACACTGCCAGCCACTCCACGGCGACGAGACCGGCCTTCCTCGCCTTGGGGGAAGCGGGTCCCGAGGGGGACGGGCCCTGAGGTTCTTCGCCGTTCTCGGGCTCTCGGTGCCCTCCACGGGCCCCTCCTCCTCCTCCTCCTCCTCCTCCTCCTTCCTCCTCCTCCTCCTCTCCCTCCTCCTCCTCCTCCTCCTCCTCCTCCTCCTCCTCCTCCTCCTCCTCCTCCTCCTCCTCCTCCTCCTCCTCCTCCTCCTCCTCCTCCTCCTCCTCCTCCCCACGGGGCTCCGCTCTGAGCCCCTCCAGCGTCTGAGCCACTTGGCCGCCGAGGGGGCAGCCGAGCGGGCTCTCAGTTCCCAGCAGGGCGGTGGGAGCTTTTCCTTTTGTTCGGCAGCCAGGAGGAACAAGCGGTCTTGGGGGAAGGCCCCGGGGGCCCAGGGCCCGTTTCCCTCAGGACCTGCTTCCCCCATGCCGGCTTCAGCTCGATCAGAGCCGCCTGCGCGAGAACTGGGTCAGCAGTGAATGACGCCGATGTCCGTGGACGCTGGGCAATCGTGCCGCGATGGCGTTCCCCGAGGCGTCGTCGGTCCTCGATTTGGGAGTTGAGTGCGGTGCATGATCTGGCGGCCCCAGCGCCGAAGAGCCATGCACCGTACCGCCCTGGAGCGGGGCCCGAAGCAAGCCCAGACATGGTACGGTAGGTTCGCTTCGGGTCGACTGGCGGCCACCCCGCCGCCGGCGTTCAACGTTGAACGCCGTCAGCGACCCAGAATCGGTCGATGTCGACCGATCTTACGTTTCGGAAGCGGCCGATCGCTCAGGGTTGAACGATCTCCGCGGTGTCAGAAACCAACTGCCGAAGTATGACACGAGCCTGCAGTGCGGTGCACAGGCGCCGTGCTCGTACGATGCTGAGCTTCACTCCGCTCGTTGCGTCTCTCGGGGAGCGCGGCGGCGGTGGGCACCGTGGGCGGCGAGGGCGCGCGCACGCGGCCTCCGCGCGCTCGTTGGCGGAGAGCCCGCGAGCTCGTGGACCTGCGCCGGTCTTGGAGGCGCCGCAGAGCTGACGTCCGATAGCGGGCGTGGCTGGGGGAGAGGGGGAGGGTGGGGGCGGTCACGTCACGATTCGCGCCAGCGCGCGACTTGCCTTGGGGTGTCGTCGATGCCAGGGTGGATGTCCAGGAGCCCGCGGTCGCATTCAGAATCAGTTCGAGTGTTCGCATGCCTGACACCCAGCGTGTCCTCCCAGCGGGTCTTCGTTGCGTGAGGTTGGGCCTTGGGACCGAGCGCGCTACTGGTGCCAGACGAACCTGCAGCGCGTGTTGATCCGCCTGGCCACCCTCTACCGCCAGCGCAACGCCATGAGAATCTCCTGCGCCGCTCACCACAGTGTTCCTGCGTGCCCGCAGGTAAGTAAGCTTCTCGAGGCATCCAAGCATCGCGTCGTGGTTGCCGGTGGTGTTGCATGGCGTCCCTGGCGGCTGCGTCCTCGGTTTCAGCGGCAGGCCGCGCCAAAGCTTGGTGCCAGACTTGTGTGTGTGTGTGTGTGTGTGTGTATATGTGTCTGTGTCTATGTCTGTGTCTGTGTTTGTGCCTGTGTGTGTGTGTGTGTGTGTGTTTGTGTCGTGTCTGTATCTGTGTGTTTGTGTGTGTGTGTGTGTCCGTGTGTCCGTGTGTGTGTGTGTCCATGGTGAGCCTGCGCGTCTTCGTCGATTGGCGGTATTATCCTAGTGTGTTTCGCTTCGTCAGCTTGTCTGGTCCGTCCGATTTGCAACTTCCCTCCCCGATCGTGGCACTGGCTCGCGCGATCCTGCTCGTCTGCGACGCTCCGAACTTTCGAGGACCGGGCGCGCTGCAACTCGAGGAGGGCGCGCCGCTTTGTGAGGCACGCGTCGTCTCCGCCTGCTCTTGCTTCTCCTCCCCTTCCTCCTTTGCCCTCCTTCTCCTTCTCCTGCTCCTGCTGATTCTCATTTTTCATTTCCTCCTCATCCTCTTCCTCCTCCTCCTCCGCCTCCTCCTCCGCCTCCTCCCCCCCGCCTCCCCCTCGGGGTCCCTGGAGGCTGCCAGAGGCACCCAGAGGCTTCCAGAGGCCAAGGAAGGCCCAGGCACGTTGAGAGACATTGTCCCATGAAGCCTGCGTCCTCGAGCCTCGATCCTCCTCCTCCTCCTCCTCCTCCTCCTCCTCCTCCTCCGGCCTGCTCCTCCTCCTCCTCCGGCCTGCTTTCCCGCCAGGACGCGAGTGGGGGCCAGGGCTTCCCGGGCGGCCCGGGCGGCTTCGCTACACAGGACCCGTTCGATATGTTCAGGACTGGTCGGCAGAAAGCTCAGGGCCCCCCCCGCGATGAGCTGGAGGAGGAGAAGGAGGAGGAGGAGGAGGGGGAGGAGGAGGCGGAGGAGGAGGAGGAGGAGGCAGAGAAGGCATTCTAGGTTGTTTTTCCAACTTGTCCTGCCACTCCTTGCTCCTCCTCCTCCTCCTCCTCCTCCTCCTCCTCCTCCCATCCCTGCCTCCTTGTCATCCGCATGTCAATTGAGAGTGTTTTTTTACCCTCTTGGCCATAGCGCGCGTTATGCCCCCTCCCCCCCTCCCCACCTGTAACGTAACGCTCCCCCCCTCAGTGCGTCCCCAGCACTGCCGCAGTGCGTCTGGCACCACAGTCTGGGGGGGTCGCTACGTTATGCCTCCTCCCGTCCAACCCCCCTCCCCCCCGCAATAACCCGCCTTATGGCCGCGAATTAAGAGATGCGCTCATGTCGGCGCACGCCTCACTGGCTTCATGGCCTCATAGGGAGCTCCCCCAAGGGCCCCGGCGGGTGCGTGCACATGCGAGTCCTCCGCCCACTTCAGCACACCTCTCACACGTTTCGTCCCGTTGGAGAGCTGCACCGAAGGCTCCGGTGGGTGCGTCCGTGTACGGTCCCCCCGCCCATTTCGGCGCACCCCTTACCGTGGCCCCACGGAGGTCCACGAAAGGCCCAGTCCGTGGGTCCACGTGCGGCCCTCCTGCCGATGTCGTCACGCCCCTCGCACCACCCCTCACAGGCTTCGCAGCCCCTGAGGGAGCTCCTCCGAAGGCCGCAGGGGGGGGGCGTCCACGTGCGGGTCCCCCCCGCCCATTTCGGCACGCTCTTGCGCGCTTTTCGTGGCCTGACATGGGTCTCCACCGACGGCCCCAGTGGCAGAGCCCGCATGACGCCCCCCGCCCACGTCGGCACACCCCTCACACGCTCCGCGCCCCACAGGGAGTGCAGCATGCCTCTGTGCGCTTGCCCCGTAGCCCCCCTGCCCACACCGCACTGCGGCGCGCAAGGCATGAAGAGAGAGAGGGCCGCGCCCTGCTCTGCAAGCATTGGCAGAAGGTTGGGTCCCTCGCGAGGCTCCTTTGTTTTTGGTTGTTCGGGCATCGGGGGCCTCCAGGAGGCCTCTTGAGTCCTCTGGAGAGCTGGAAGATGACACTATTGCGAAGGGTGATGGTGAGGAGACTGAGCAGGAGGAGGCGGAGGAGGAGGAGGAGGAGGAGGAGGAGACTGAGCAGGAGGAGGAGGAGGAGGAGCAGGAGAAGGAGGAGGAGGAGGAGGAGGAGGAGGAGGAGGAGGAGGAGGAGGAGGAGGAGGAGGAGGGGAAGGGTAAGCTAGGTGCGCTCGCATCATTCTGATATCCCATGTCTTCATCCCTTCTTTCCCATTGCGCTGAATTGTAGTGTTTGAAGGGGTTCGACCGCCGGCCACCCCTCAGAGTGCTTGCGTGGCCACGGTTGGTCGGTCGGTTGGGTTTCTTGTCTGCTCGCTGGCTGTCAACTTGGCAATCGGTGTGTGCTGTTTGCTGGCTCGCCGGTGGTACGCGTTTGCCATACGTGACAATGAAGGATGGTGGCCTCGGGAGCGACGTGTGGCATAAAAGCGCCCCCCCCGAACACATCTCCCAACATAGAAGATTCCAGTTCTTCTGCTTTGGATTTTTGGTAAGCCTTCGTGGGCTGGGTTCGTGGCCTCGGGAGCGCCAACGCGTCGTAGTACGCGTCGTAGTTTACTGAGGATTGTGCCTTCGAGCGCGCAAGCTTGCCGTCATTTGCAAGGGGTTGTGGCCTCGGGATCGCAGATCTGGTGCAATCTAGAATGGATTCTGGCTCGGGGAGTGTAACTTACCACGGGCTGTGGCTGCAGGAGCGCGAGCGTAGTGTCATTTGCAAGGGATTGTGGCTTGGTGGTTTGGGGAGCGCGAGCCTGAAGTATTTGGCGAGGGATTGTGGCTTGGGGGAGCGCGAGCGTGGTGAAATTTATGGTAGTGGTTTGGGGAGAGCGATCATGGTGTAATGTACAGTGGAATGTGGTTTGGGGGGCGTAAAGCTGGCGTAATTCACGAAGGAGGGTGGCTTGTTGTGGGAGCGCGAACCTGGGGTAATTTGCCAGGGATTGTGGTTTGTGGCAAGTGAGCCTGGCGAACTGTGCTAGGGATTGTGGCTGGGGAAGCGCGAACCTGGAGTAGCGTACAAGGGACGTGTGGTTTGCGGCGGGCGAACCTGGTGTATTTTGCAATGGATTGTGGCCTCGGGATCGCGAGCGCGAAGTAACTTACTAGGGATTTGTGCCCTCGGGCACGCGAATCTGATGCATTTTACGTGTCTCAGGGCTTCTGGCAGGAATTGAGATTGCGTGATTATTGCGTCGTGGCCAGGTGGTTTTAGGGCTTCCCCTTCGCGCGGACTTCAATCGCTACAACAGTGGAACCAGGAAAGAGAGGATCTATTCTTATAACTTGGGAACTGGAACAAGTGGAGCTGGAACGCATCCGCATTGCAGCCTGTTGGCCCCACGGGGGCCGGCGGATATCCTGCACCACTTCACTTCGGGTATCCTAGAGGACCTTCATTCCTAGAATGACCCCGGCCCATCGTGTGATGCGCAATCAGATAGGGGGGCTTGGCACTTTACAGGCGGAGGATGAGAAGGAAGAGGAGGAGGAGGAGGAGGAGGAGGAGGAGGAGAAGGAGGAGGAGGAGGAGGAGGAGGAGGAGGAGGAGGTTGAGGGAGAGCAGGCGGATGAACAAGAGGAAGACGAGGATGATGAGAAGGAGCAGCAGCAGGAGCAGGACTAGTACGTAGTAGGAGCAGCATAAGTATGATGACCAAGGGAGGGAGGAACAATGTGAACGGAGGGGGGATGGCAATGACGAGGAAGGAATCGAATCCAGAGGCGTGTCCCGCGCTGAGGCGAGAACGCCATTCTGAATGGCGGGAACAGAGCGCCGATCCTGAAATGTGGCTTGCGCTGCAACCGGAACACCATTTTTGGAGAACCGCGAACGTTTGGAGTGAAGAGCATGTGGGGGACCAACCTCTTTTCAATCCCGTGCAGGAGAAACAACACGCGAGAGCGGCGGCGGTGCCACAAGGCAGGTCCAGGAGAGAGACACAGGGAGGAGAGAAAGAGAGGAGAGTGTTGTGTGCAGCATGCCGTTGTGGTAGAGCTCTCGGCCTGGGGCTCCGCTGCCCCCTGGCCGCCAGAAGTGAGAAGGACGTCAGCGGATCAATCGGCCACCCTGGCAAGGCTTTGGGCTCCGCGCAGACAGGCCCCCCCCACCCCCCCGGCTAGTCCCGGCTTGCCTCAACAGGCCCCCCGAGTAGTCCCAGCATGGCCTCAACAGGCTCGCCCCCAGGTCTGCGCGCAACCCAGAGCCTCACCAGGCCCCCCCCCCTGCCCTGCTGGCCCTCCGGGCTGCCGCCTGCAGGAACATGTTCGGTGGCCAGAACTTCGACTTCGGGCGGGGAGGACGAATGCGGACGCCCGACGTGGGCTACGCGATGGAGGTCTCCCTGGAGGAGCGGGGCTCGCCTTGGCCTCTTGGAGTCCGCACGCCCGTCAGCTTAATGTCGAATGTTGCAAGTGTTACCTGATGCTGGAGAGGATAGTGCTGATGGTTGTGCGCCTGACAGCCAGAGAACATTCAGTAGCCTTGGAGAGTGCTACAACTCCGCGTGTGATCTGGGTCTCGGGGTGTGGAGCTAGCCGCTTGAGGGCCAGCCCCGCAGGCCCTGTGTTCCAGCGTGCGCCTCGTGAGGATCGGCAGGTCTGCCATGCTTCCGCGCGTTGGGAGCATCACTCACCAAGATGTCTCTGCCGAAATTCTGGGGCCCGAGCATTGGACTACGCTTGGAAGCGAGGAGGGAGTCATCCAGGGGCAGCCACTTTTCTGGCTTGTCTGGCCGAGGATATATACGCGGGCTGCACCCGCGAGGTGAGGTACCAGCAGGACGTGGTCTGCACCAGGCGCCTTGTCGGGGGGGTGGGCGTCGCCAACGGGGCTTGAAACTGCCTGAAGCTCTGTCCCAAGTTGGAGCCAGAGGGGCGCTTTGGGGAACCCGACCGCCTTTGGGGCGCAGCCCTGTCTCCATTTTTTTACCTGGTGTCCGGGCCTCCCATATGGAAGCTGGTGGATGCTTCGTGGAGTGTGCGCCGCTCGCGGCATGCCGCGTAAGAGCGTGGAGGGCGTCCGCATTTCAACAATCCACCGATCCAATCGCGACGCGCGGACAAGCTAGGAGGCCTCTGGAAACCGGGGCCTCCTAACGTTCGGCGGCGAGCGAGAGGGGGAAGTGAGAAGGGGACGGACTTCTCAGAAGGCGGAGTGGGTTGTCTGAAGCCCTCCAGCCTTCCGAGAAGATTTTTCAGCCTTCCGAGAAGGCTCAGAACACTTCTCAGAAGACTGGGGGACTTCCGAGCCTCCTCAGAGGGCCCGCCCCCTCTCATTTCCCCCCCTCGCTCGCCGCCGAAACGTGTCAGCGAGGCTCCAAGTCTTGCCGTTTCCCCGGATCTTGAGCCTCTGGAAGCGTTGGAGCTCTCGAGCGTACCCGCGGCGTCTGAGAGGGTGGGGCCCTTGTCGCAGACGTCCTCCGAGGCTCCCTTGGGCGGTCCCGGCGCCCGGGGGAGCGCTCCTCTCTGGCAGCCCTCCTCGACGGGCTCCGTCCTGTCACGCCGCGCTCTGGCGTCCAAGGGGGGGGGCCTCCTCCTCCTTCTCCTCCTCCCTCCTGCGCCCGTGGCGAGGCAATTTCTGGGCCTCCCAGCTGGGGTCCGAGCCGATGGGGTCGGAGGATCGCGCCACATCGCCGATCGCCGATGCATCGGCGATGCGGCGCGATGCGGAGACCGACCGTCTCCACGCCGACGTCACGGCGCGCTCCTTCGACCGCATTTGCTCGGACCCCATCCAGGACGCCTCTGCACCTGCAACGCACCGGCGGGGCCTCTTCCCGGTGCCCTCCCCCCCTGCGTGCCAGGTGCGGCGGCCGGGGCGCCTCCCGGGTGGACGCCTGCAGCAGCTGCGGGGGCAGCGGCGTGCGGGTGACGCAGAGGCAGGTGCTCCCAGGCGTCGTGACGCAGGTGCAGCAGCCTTGCCAGGCGTGCCGCGGCGCGGGCGCCACCGTGCCCCCCGGTGCCACGTGCGAGAGCTGCAAGGGCTCCGGGATGATGTCGAAGGAGGCGAAGCTGCCGGTGAAGGTGCCGCCCGGCTGTCCGTCGAAGAGCCGCTTTGTCTTCGGCGGGATGGCCGATGAAGCTCCCGGCATGGAGACTGGGGACATCATCGTCGAGGCCGGGAGGAGACGAAGACGGCAGGTGACAGGGAGGGAGGAGGGAGGGGTGGAGAACAATCCATTTCATTTACCGCCACTTAGTGATCAGTTCGTTTGGTCCTGGGACTCGCTGCATTATGGATGACGATCCTTTGCATGACAGCGCAGCAGCTCTTCCTCAACCCATACAAGACGACAACAGTTAAGCATATGCCTCATTCGGTATACTTTGATGCAAATGGTTTGATGCGACTGCTATTAGTGAGAGTGCACGTTTGTCAACCTTCCTCAGATCTGCAGTTTGCCGAAATACGTTATAACATACCAGGGATGAACCTGGGCAGGAGGGGCTATGCCAGGAGGTGGTGAATATGGTTGAACTTTATGAGGAGGCAAAGCAGGTTGCTAGTTGGGCTGATGCCGAGCCGTAGTGGCGTTCGAGCCTTCTTCGATCGCTCGGGATCCGAGCAAGAGTGTGCAGGATGTGCACCATGGGAGGCAACCGCGCAGGCTGATAGAGTCGCGAGCTAAGCCAGTGACATCTTCCTGCTGGGATCTCTGGCTCGACGGATCGATTGGCAGCTGCGGAGCTTGAGCCCAGATCCTGCCTGCATGGCCCCGCCCTGTGCAGGGGGGGGGGTCGAATTGTGGGAGGGAAGGGGGGGTTATGCGGACAGGGAAGGAGAAAGACATGTACGCCTGGTTTCAGCTTCCGCCCTGATCGGGGAAACATAATACTCGAGTGCGCTGGAACTCGGGTTTGCCGACGCTTTTTGACGAGCGCGTCCTGGATTCTGACGGTCCGGTTTTCGCGGGATGTTCGCAGCGGGCGCTCGCGTCAAATTTCAGATTGGCTCTCGTCATTTTCATGATGGCCCCGTCAAGCCAACCCGAGTCCCCCCAACCCGAGTCTTACGTCTCCCCGACATGAGCTACCGATAGGTGTGGGAGAAGAAGCACCCAGACTTCTCTCGCCTCGGCGACACAGATTTGCTGCTCGACCGCCGTGTGCCCTTGCTGGACGCGCTGTGCGGGGTGCGCTTCACGCTAAGGCACCTGGACGGGGGTGACCTGGAGGTGTCGTGTCCTGAGGGCGAGATCGTGCGACCCGGCGACGTCTGGATCGTCAAAGGCACAGGGCTCAGTTTTGCAGAGTTTGCTTCTGCTGTCTGCGTGGTTGCCGTTCCGAACCCTCCCCTCCTCCGCCTCCTCCTCCGCCTCCTCCTCCGCCTCCTCCGCCTCCTCGTCTTCCTCCTCTCACAGTCACCACAGACCATCCCGCCAGAGGGTCGCCGATTCGTCGTGTCTCCTCTCGACGGAGGCACGTTTGAGAGGCTGAGATGTGGATCTCGAATCTGCCCCTTCGACTTATCCTTTCTACCCCTCCTCCTTCTCTTCCTCCTCCTCCTGCTTCGCCTCCTCCTCTCCCCAGCGCCTCAAGCCCCGTTTGTGAGCGAGGCACGAGACAGCAGAGGGCCTTGACAGGGAAACATGCCGCCTGATGTTTTCCCTGGGTCGGCTGGTCGATCCTCGGGCATGATGGTCGATGAACTGCGCGGGCCAGGAACAGCGATAGGGCGGGGCCTGGGAGGCAAGCGCGGAGGCAGCAGCAAGCTCTGGAAGACGAGGAGCACCATGCTGCAGCCGCGCCCCGGTTGCGTGATCGACCCTGCGGTCGAGCACGGAAGCCCGACTGACTACTTCTCCTCCCTTAAGATTTCCCCGAGCCGCGCCCGAGGCCGCGGGATGCCCAGGAGCTCCGGGGGGCACGGCGACCTTGTCCTCCGCTTCGAGGTCGAGTTCCCGCGCTCGCTGCCGACGTCTGGCGGGGCGGGGGAGAGACGTCCAGCGCATGGAGGAGGAGGAGGAGGAGGAGGAGGAGGAGGAGGACGAGGAAAGCGGTAGCGTTCGACGAACACCCTTGCCGTCAGGAGCACAGGATTACAGGAGGAGGAGGAGGAGGAATAATGCACATAATAATAGGAAGGCGGATCATACTAATATCAAGAGTAATGATAGCACCAGTAGGAATAATCATGATAATAAGAAGCAGACTACGGATGATGAGAACGACGAAATACTAAGAGTATGAATCAGATGAATAATAATAACAGTGCTAATGTGAAACAGACGGCGATTACTAATAGTATGAATAATGGTATTGATACGGCTAATACGGATAAGACGAAGGAGCATAAGCATCCTACAGCGAATAGTCATGATACTATCAACAATAATAGACGATGTTGGTGAATAGCAATAGTTAATGAGAGAAAATGAATCACATTATTATTCAGAATAATAAGCTTAATATTCTGAATAGAACACTACTACGAGTATTATTAATATGAAAAATACGGGCACGGATACTATGAAGACGAATAGTATGATGATGAAGAAGAAGAGGCATAATAATGGGACCGAGAAGGATACAACCAATGATCGCAAGACTAAGACAGATACGAATACGAATGAGACGGACACGATTAAGACTACGCAGTGGCATAAGAAGAGGAGGAGGAATACTACTATTATTATTAGCACTAATCAGACGACGCATGCTGTTTTTTATTATGAGGATTCGAACGAATCGCACACACTTTGATGCAACGAATCCTATAACTACTACTAGTGCGAAGAAGACGCATATGATTGATATTACTGCTAACAAGTACACTAATACTATTACTACTACGAGTGATCAGAATACTATGAGTACTAAGAAGAGAAGGATCACTACTAGTAAGAATAAGACGCATATTATTAATATCCAAGGGAACATCAATCATACACGGCCGAATAATACTACTACTACTACTGCTGCTAATTCTACTACTACTACCACTACTACTACTACTATCACAACAACAACAACTACTACTACTACTACTACTACTACTAGTACTACTACTACTACTTCTACTACTACTACTACTACTACTACTACTACTACTACTACTACTACTACTACTACTACTACTTACTACTACTTACTACTACTTACTACTACTTACTACTACTTACTACTACTCACTACTACTTACTACTACTACTACTACTACTACTACTTCTACTACTACTACTACTAACTAACTAACTAACTAACTAGCAAACTAACTAACTAACTAACTAACTAACTAACTGCTGACTACTACCAACTACTACTACTACCACTACTACTGCTACTACTACTGCTACTACTACTACAGCAACAACTACTACTACAACTACAACTACTATTACTACTACTACTACTACTACTACTACTACTACTACTACTACTACTACTACTACTACGTCTTCTACTACTACTACTACTACTACTACTACTACTACTACTACTACTACTACTACTACTACTACTACTACTACTACTACTACTACTACTACTACTACTACTACTACTACTACTACTACTACTACTACTACTACTACTACTACTAAGTAAGTACTACTGATTAATATAATACTAACAGTCCTGACAGCACTACCACTCAAACTGCGCAAGAACGTGTTTACTGGTGCTGGCGGAAAACCGGGGGGGGGTCACTGGGGGTTCCCATTTCGTCCCCCCCCCTCGAAAACCGGGGGGGGTCACTACCAGTTCGAACCCCTCCCCCCCCCCAGTCCATCATGAAAAGGGAGAGGGCCATTACCGGTTCGACCCCCCTCCCCCCCTCGAAAACCGGGGGGGGTCATTACCAGTTCGAACCCCCCCCCTCGCCGCCGGCAAACGATGCTCGCTCCTCGGGACAGTTGGACAATGGTGAGGATACTGGGACAGTGGTGGGAATGGTGGTGGTGGGGACAGTGGTGCGGGGACAGTGGGACAGTGGTGCGGACAGTGGTGGGGACGGTGGCGGTGGGGACAGTGGTGAGGGGACAGCGGAACAGTGGTGGGGACAGTGGGACAGTCGTGGGGACGGTGGTGGTGGGGACAGTGGTGAAGGCGGTGGTCAGGACGGTGGTGGGAAAATAGTACAGTGGGGAGAGTGGTGGGGACAGTGTGGACAGTGGGACAGTGGTTGGGACAGTGGGGACGGTGGGACAGCACAGTGGGACAGTGGCGGGAACAGTGGGACAGTGGTGTGTACAGCGGGGACAGTGGGACAGTGGTGGGGGCCGTGGGGAAAGTGGGGAGAGTGGGACCGTGGTGGGACAGTGGTGGGGAGAGCGGGGTCAGTGAGACACTAGTGGGGGCACTGGTGGGGACAGCGGGGACAATGGTGGGAACAGTGGGGACAGTGGGACAGTGGTGGGGACTGGGACAGTGGTGGGGACGGTGGTGGTGGGGACAGTGGTGAGGGCGGTGGCGAGGGCGGTGGGACAATGGGACAGAGGTGCAGTGGGACAGTGGTGGGGACAGTGGGGACAGTGGTGGGAACAGTGGGACAGCTCAGCGGGATAGCGGCGGGGACAGTGGGACAGTGGGACAGTGGGGACAGTGGGACAGTGGTTGGGACCGTGGGGAAAGAGGGGAGAGTGGGACCGTGGTGGGAACAGTGGTGGGGACAAGTGGGAACAGCGCGACAGTGGTGGGGGCACTGGTGGGGACAGTGGGGACGGTGGTGGGAACAGTGGGGGCAGTGGTGGTGAGGACAGTGGTGCTGGGGACAGCAGTGGGGGATGTGGTGCGGACGATGGTCAGTCGTTTGCCAACGGTGAGCGTGGGGGGGGGGGGAGAGGTTCGAACTGGTAGTGACCCCCCCTGGTTTTCTGGAGGGGGGGGTTCGAACCGGTAGTGACCCCCCCCGGTTTTCTGGAGGAGCGGGAGGGGTTCGAGCCCGTAGTGGCCCCCCCTGCTTGTCTGGGGGGGGGGGGGAGGAGTTCGAACCGGTAGTGACCCCCCCCGGTTTTCCGGAGGGGGGGGGGGTTCCAGCCGGTAGTGACCCCCCCGGTTTTCTGAGGGGGGGGGGTAGAGGGGGGGTTTGCCGAGGGGGGGAGGGGGGTTTTCCAGCAGGGGGGGAGGGAGGACCCCCGGGCTCTGGAGGAGGAGGGGCGGAATTTTCCACAGTAAAGCGGCGGTGGATCTCGCTCTCCCAGAACTACGAATCGCATGACAATTCATATCGCGAAGAAGAGTTATCAGTACACTAATGGCAATTGCAATCAGAAACATATCAAGACCAATCATAATATTCATACTACAACTAACACTAATCATAATAACAAGACGAAGAGGAATAATATGAAGAGGAGGAGGAGGAGGAGGAGGAGGAGGAGGAGGAGGAGGAGGAGGAGGAGGAGGAGGAGGAGGAGGAGGAGGAGGAGGAGGAGGAGGAGGAGGAGGAGGAGGAGGAGGAGGAGAGTCGAGGTCGTGGGATCCAGGATCGATGCCTGTGGGCATCCTCTTGACGTCCTGGGCCTGCCATGGGGGGCCTCTGGAGGCCCAGACCTCTCTTGGAGCCTCCGCGTCGGCCTCTGGGGATCCCCCGGAGCAGGCCCCCGGTGGATGGGGAAAGATCGGACGGAGCTCGGACGAGGATAGACCGGACGAGAGGGCCAGATGCAGAGTCGAGGTCGTGGGATCCAGGATCGATGCCTGTGGGCATCCTCTTGACGTCCTGGGCCTGCCATGGGGGGCCTCTGGAGGCCCAGACCTCTCTTGGAGCCTCCGCGTCGGCCTCTGGGGATCCCCCGGAGCAGGCCCCCGGTGGATGGGGAAAGATCGGACGGAGCTCGGACGAGGATAGATCCCTTCCAGAGCGGCCAGATCCCAGACCCCCTCGAGTAATGAAAAAATCATGACGGGAGGTTTTTCCTAGTTTTCGGCCTCTGGGGGTCCTCACCGGGCCTCGGGAGCGTCAAAAAACGACTCAGGATGCAAAGCCGGTCATGGGGAAAGGGTCGGGACCTCTGGGGGTCGACGTAATGAAAAAATCATTACGTCGGGGGTCTGGGATCTCAGATATTCTCGAGTTATCCTCGCCCGAACTTATCCTCGTCCTGGCGTCGTCCTAAGGCTGGGAGGCGGGGGGGGGGGAAGGGAGGAACCCAGACCCCCTCGCCGCAGGGAGAAGTCACGGCGGACGTTCCTCGCTATTGTTCGACCAGTGAGACAGATCATCCCGGACATGCGCGCGTCGTAAACTCGGGGGTGGACAGAACCCCCAACAGTGACACGTCGATTAGTGAATTGTCCGTTTTCGGTTCTCGAGAGGGAGCCGTGGCCGTTATTTTCCAGGCTTGCGCCCGCCAGGTTTGGGCCTCAGGTCGTTTTCACTAAACCACGTTTTACTAAAGGGGGGTCTGTCCATCCCCGATAAACAAACATCAGGACGGGATGTCTTTGGCCATGTTCGGCTTCTGGGAGCGCTCGCCTGCCATCGGGACCGTCAAACAACGAGTCAGGATGAAAACCTTGCCTCGGGAATGTGTCCAGACCTCCAGGGGTCGATGCCATGGACAAACCATGACGGCGGGGGTCTGGGAAGGGGAGGGGGGGACCCGTCGGGCCCATGCGTGAAATACCCAGAAGATCTCTTCTCCTCCTCTCCGTTCATGCCCGGAGCGGTCCCTCTCACTCCCACCTCCTCCTTTCTCCTTCCTCCCCTCTCTGTGCTCGCTTCGTCCTCTCGGTGGAGGCCGCCTCGGGGTGGTCAGCTTTCCCTCTGCGTGCGCGTGCTGGCCACGTGGTGCCGAGATTGCCGATGGCATGCCCCAGAAGAGGGCCAACAGGGCGTCTGTGGTGCTTCCCTAGCCTCAGGGCATGACGCCCGCTGCGCTCAGCCTGGCTCGAAGACGCGGGGGGGGGGAAAGCTGCGTCGGGCGGCAGGCCGTGCGGCGGGCGAGGGATCGGGGGGCGCCCACGGGTCGAGGATCGAGGCTCTGGGATGTTTTCTTGTTGCTGCCTGCCCGCCCGTGCGCACCGATGTCTCCCGAGCTCCCCGCGAGAACTGCCGACAACAGGCGGCGCGGACGGGTCGAGGATCGAGGCTGTTTGGTGTTGCTTTGGGGTGGGGTGGGGTGGGCGTCAGGGGGGGGGGGCCTCTGGAGAGATCCAGAGCCTCCCATCGGCGTCGCCCCAACATACTAATACTATGTGTGCGTCGCCCCCTCCCCCCCCAGGGGTGACGCGCGCAACGAGAAACCTTGTAGCATATGCGTCGTGCTTGGCGCTTTCTGGCCACACCGTTCGGGAAACAATGTAGGTACTACAAGATGGGTGTACTATATGTTCGGGTCGGACGCGCGCCTCCAAGGAGGACAAATAGTACTAGTATGTCTCTGTGTGTCCCATTCCAGGGACCTCCGCAGGACCTCCTCGGAGTCTGCCGGAGGCCCATCCACATGTCATGCCGACTCTGAGCGTCAGCCAGCTGTCCTCCTCCGTACCGATCCTGGCTGGGCCCATCCTCAGCCCTGGATCGGTGGATGCCCCCTCCTCCCCCCCACACACACACACACCCTTCCATTGGCCCAGGTTGCGTGTTCACGGGTCCAGGTTGGTTGGCTTGGCCAGGATGGGTTACGTGGATGGGTGGCGTCCCCCGTTGATTGTGATCAATGCGCAGCTGGGCCGCGAGCTTCTCCAAGGGCGCGGGGAGACCCTTCTGAGGTGCTTGGTGAGATCCTGCGTGCTCAGCGGGGGTCTCGGCATGGTGGTCAGTGGTCCCCGTGAGGCGTCTGCCCCGCGGCGCGTGGCGAGCCCACGGGAGGGCCGAGGGGACGCACCCCGCAAGAGGGGGCTCGGGAGAGGGCCATGCCGTCGAGTGTTGATGTAACGTGTACTGTACTCCTGGGTACCGAGCATGCCCTCCACCACGGTTGTTGGGCGGCGCTGCTTCTGCCCCTCTGGGCTTCTCTCTGCCTTCTCCTCCACCGTTTGCACGCCCAGGCCTGCACGCGCCGACGGCCGCATTTACGGTGTTGCCCCTTCGCCTAAGTCGGCATCCGTTTTTTTGGATATTATATGTTTCATAAGAGTGCTGCAGCCGCGACGCTCAAGCTCGCCCAGCGTAAAACGTCGAGCGTGCGCTCCCCGTGCGGCGGGACGCAGCTTGGGACTGCAGGGCCTGCCACCGCCCCCCCCTCCGTATCCGTTTCGGGCCAGGCCCCGCCGGGCAGACCCGGGCGCCACCCCCAGAGATCCGACGCCTTGCCCGGAAGTCCCGGCACCTTCCCCGTAGGGTCAGCGGCTTCTCGTCCCGAGCAGGTTGCAAGGGCGGCCCCAGTGCTCAGCGCGGGCCCCCGGAGGCCGAGACGGCGAATTACCTCCGTTTTGTGTGTGTGTGTGTGTCTCAGTGCGTTGGATGTCTGGGTCCGTCCCTCAGAGGGGCTCTCCCCTCTAGGCCTCCCAGATGGGGTCCATGCAGGTGGGGTCGGAGGATCGCGCCGCGGAGCAGGTTGGGTCGGAGGGTTGCGCCGCATCGCCGATGCATCGGCGACGCGGCTCGATGTGGAGCCCGATATCCTCCACGCCGACGGCGCCGATGCATCGCTTGGCGATGCAGCGTGATCCTCGGACCCAGACTCCGCCCCCCATCTACGGTAGGTTTGCGTCGTGTCGACCAGCGGCGACCCCAGCGCGGGCGTTCAAGGTTGAACGCCGCCGGCAACCCAGAATCGATCGATGTTGAACGATCGGACGTTGCGGCAGCGGCCGATCGTTCAAGGTTGAACGATCCCTGCGGTGTCAAAAACCAACGCCGAAGTCGGCACGACACGGACCTGCCGTACTCGGACTCCACTTTGGGAGGCCCCCGTCCCCGGAGCCCGCCGCCCGCATGAGCGCAGACCAGGGCGCCGCCGCCAGCCCGCTCCACGGCCCGCTGGCGGCGGCCCTGGGGCTCCCGCCAGGCGAGCGCGAGGCGGCGGTGCGCCTGGCCGTGCGCACGCTGGCGCAGGTCCCCGCCCCTAAGATCCTGGCGCTGCAACGTTTCGCAACTCTCAGGAGGGGAAAAAACACACAGACACAATTAATCGTCGATCCCCAGGGAAACATGGGAAAATATGGGAAGTGGTGGGGAAGACAAAACCCAAGAAAATATAGGAAAATATGGGGAATCTTTTTATTTGTGTGCATTTATTTGTGTGTCCCAGGGCCCCTTCAAACTCAGCGGCGGGCGAGGGGGGGAAGGGAGGAGGGGCGGGCCGTCTCAGAAGGCTCGGAAGCTCCCCGACCTGCTACGACGTTTTTCTATGCCTTCCCTGACGACGCAGAAAGGCTCTCAGACGCTGCGAGGGCTTCTCAGAAGTCCCGCCGCCTTCCGAGCAAGCCTTCTCCTTCTCATTCCCCCCCTTCGCTCGCCGCCGAACAACATGCGTTTTCGCCTGGTTTCAGGCCCCAGGACCCTCACAGATCGACCAGGCTCGACATATAACGCAGAGGAATGAGGTCTGGGGCTCCAGTGGTGATTTTTGGCGATGTTACAGTTTTTTTGGCAACGTCAGGTCTGAGGGCCCGAGGGCTTGACGGTTCTTCTCATATCGACTTGCGGGGTTGCGATCCAGAAGCGGCCTCGCCTTCGTCGAGGATCGCAGGAGTTGGCATCTCTTCCTCGGCGGAAGGCGGCGGAAGGCCGGCGGAAGGCGGCGGAAGTAAAACGAGGTTGCCTCCGCTTGCGGAAGCCGGCGGAAACCGGCGGAAGTTGGCGGACGGCTGGCGGAAACCGGCGGAAGTAATAATCGGCCATCCAAAGAGGCGGCAAGAGTTGTCGGTTCAGGGTTTCTGGAACCCGGCAGGTCTACCACGGTAGAAGCCCAGATGTCTCGAGACACATCCAGACAGGCCGAGGCAGATCCAGAGACGGACCTCCCCAGCCTGGGCCCCGGGGGAGCTCCCACGCGAGTCGGGAAGCAGCAGGCGTCGTCGAGCTCTCACCCGGGCAGGGGTCGGGGTGCGACGGCGGCGCGGGGGGCCGTCTGGACGAGGCGCTGCGGGCGGTGCGGCCGTCGTTGCCCGAGGGGACGCGGGTGCTGCTGGACCGCCTGGCAGGGGAGCTCCGCGCGGCGGCCGCCGACGTGGCCGGGGAGGGCGGCGCTGGGGCGCGGGGGGAGGTGGAAACGCCGCCGCGGCAGCATCAGGGGCAACGCTTGGGGGGGACATGAAGCAGTGGCGAGGCGTCCTGGCTTTCCTTTCGGCCCACCGGAGAGTGCTCCAAGAACCCTCTGTGTGGTTTGCTCGAGCTGTTCTCAGAACATGTTTGGCTGAGAACGTCTTCTCGTAGTACATCGGTTGCATGTCTTCATAATGTTCTTAGAACGTTCCTTTGTTCTAAGGGCATCCCGTGGTAGGTCCACAGGAATGCCAGGACGGCCGTTCCCTGTTCAAGGACAGGCCCAATGGGGGCTGCATCGACCCCCGATCCTCCAGTGTTCGCCGATAGGGGCCAGATAGCCCATCCCGCCCAGGAGCCTATCGCCGATCTAGCGGCGACGTGTCGCCGATTCCAGGTCGATGTCTCCCCCCTCAGCTGGCCCCCCCCCCACTATCGCTGCCCCTCACAGCAGGCGCAGGTGGGCCTCGCCGCCGAGGCTCAGGCAGGCGCGGAGAGAGGAGAGGGGGCTGCCGAGGAGATACAGGAGGGGGCCGCCGGGGAGGAGAGCGAGGACGATGGTGAGGAGGGCAGTCCGTTTGTTCTTGGCCCGGTGCGTGTGCCGTTGGCCACGCTTCTTAACGTGGCGGCCGCGTTGGAGCTGGATGACCTCACACCGGCGGCGAGCTCGTGCAAGTCGTTGTGTATCGCCATCAACATCAACCTGCAGTACGTGTACTTCCTGGTGCGGCTGATCCGCCTCATCGCCCTGGGTCCCGAGCTGGCGCGGGCCATACGCGACAACGAAGACTCCTCCGGCGTCTCCGAAGCATCCACTGAGGCCTCGGATGATTCCTGACGCGCGCAGGTCTCCTCTTCCTCCTCCGCCGTCGTCGTCGTCGTCGTCGTCGTCGTCGTCGTCGTTGTCGTCATCGTCGTTGTCGTCATTGTCATCGTCGTCATCGTCATCGTATCGTCATCGTCGTCGTCGTCGTCGTCGTTTTTGTTCTTCTCCTCAGGCCTCACTCCTCCTCAGGTCCTCCCTACTCTCCCACTCCCACTTCCTTCGTCATCCTTCTCTTTTCGCCTCCCCCTCCTCCTGCCCCTCCTCCTGACTGCAGTGTTGCGGTCTTCATGTCCATGGCCTCCATCATGGAAATGTCGCTGCTGCCTACTCAAGTGCGCGCCATCCTCATTCCTTCGCTTGCTAAGCCGCAGGGCGGGTGACGCCCTATCGGCTCGTTCAGCTCGACGTACAGGACTTGGCGGATGATGAGGAGACCATTGGCTGACTAGTGGGAGACAAAGCATTCAAGGTACCATCTTGCGGCTGGTCCGTTTGAAGGTGCATCAGATGTCATTTGGCGCCAATCCGTCCGCTGAGAAGGTGCAGTTCGCTCTTTCCCAGGTTCGTCGAGAGCCAAGAGCCAATAAGCATGCTAATGCAGTCACTTGCACTGTTGGTGGGATTGCAGAAATGGTTCGACAACTCCAGTACATCGGATTTGGAAAGTAGGTGCGATTTCCTGGAGTTTCCAAGGCAAGTGTTCTCGTTGACTTTACCGGCCTACACGGGCACCAGGTACATGATAGGTGGAATGGTCCAACGGCCTTTCTTCGCCAGGAGCTCGATCATAGCTGGGTGCTCTATGGCGGCATCGTGTATTATGGTTTTCGCTATACGGGCGATATGCCAAAGTTCGACTGCCGCTTCATTCGGCATATACACCGACGACTATTGTATATCCTCCACGGTCCCCGAGGCAGGTTCCAAGAGACATCATGGAGAGCTCGTTTTAGCTTTACGCAGGTTTGGCCGGGGACATGGAGTGTGTAGTGGCCAAGGACGAGGCCTCCGAGATGCGTTCGTGCGCCAGACATGGAGGGTCGATTAGGACAGGCCCTCGGCGACCACGGCGGAGCCGTCCTCCAGGATTCGGCACGGAAGCTTGGAGTTGATGATGCGGTAGGAAGGAGTCGTCGCCAAGCGCCGTCGAGGACAAGTCGCAAAAAGCAGGGGGATAGCATTTCAGAAAAAGGGTTTACATATTCAACAGGTGCACATTCGCATTGGGCAGGCGCGCTAAGAAAGTATGTACAAGCGCCCCGTTATCGGGCCTTCTCTGGGGATCTAAGGCTCACGGGCTCTCGGACTTTGAGCTGGCAGTTGCTCGGCATAATGTATGCAGTGTGCTTCGTCCGAGAGCCGACATGCGTTGCCTCACATCCTTTTCGAAGCTGGAATCTAGCCCTGCTTGCTTTGGAGCAGTTTCACGGGTGGTGAGGTACGCAAGAGAAGGTTTCTCGAACCAGGTCAGATCATGAGACAAGCCATTGCTTGTCAAAGTTATCAGGGCTTGAAGAGGATTGGGTGGAGGATGAGCAGCTTCAAGAAGCTGTTGCACGATTTCCAGGAGGAAATTCTGCTCACCACTTGCTCTCACTGTCTAGTTGAGCACAGGTTGAAGGTTGAAGGATGGAGTCCTCCGACACACAGCTCGAGAGAGAAGCCGGACATACCTGCAATGTTCAAGGGAGATGTTGCTGAGATGTCATTCCTGCACAGCTCAGGTCATGCGAGTCTTCAGGTTCCGCGAAATGCTGCATCAAGTCCCTCATCTGGGGGGCCTTGTGCGCCTTCCACCCCGATAGTGTTTGGCATCGTCTGTGGGTCTGCCTTATCGGTGCTAGTGAACGTTCCGATCTGATCGACGGTTCGATTCAGAGATGTGCCAAATCGGTAAACCCAAGTGACATTGAGGAGGTTCTGAATTTCACAAAGGGAATGACTTCGCACCCTGGAGATGTTTTTCCGCGTGCTCGGTCAGATGGCAACTGTGTCTGTGTCCATGGGCCTGGAGTTTCAGGCCTGGAGCGAGGTGCTGTTCACGGTGATGTGTCCATGGATAGCTCGTGCCATAAACGTAGCAGAGAACCGAGGCAGGCAGCTGGGGGATATGTACCTTTTGATTCTGAGGCTCGGGTGCAGGTTTCCTTTCGGGTCCCAGTATGGGCCCCTCTTTCTCAGACCCCGCAGGCTGGGGAGTTCGGGGCCCTGGCAAGAGCGTCTTGCAACTGTGCTTGTCCGATTAGGGAACTGACTCTTGGACTGTTGGAGGGTTGTGGCTAGTTTTTGGCCGAGAAGGCCAGACAGTTTCCCCACGATCGAATGTATTCTTATACGATGATCCTTAACCTCGTGGACTTTCAAAAGGTCACGGCCCACGTAGTCGACGATTCGTCGCTATGAGAAGAGTAGACGTGTTTTGGGGCAGGGAACGACATGGCGGACCTTGCTGCGAAGTTTGGATTACCTGGCCACCCTGAAGGTCCTGCCGCGGAGTTGCATGAGGTGAGTCGGCAGATTCAAGTTTCAAAGGCTGTCTGTCTCCTGGCCGCCCGTCTTCTGCCACTCTGTCCCGTTTTGGACCCCAAAGGCTGTCCTCTGGCTCCTCAGGCCCAGGCCCCCAGGTCCAATACCCCCAAAGGTAGATCATTGCACGTTTGGGAGTACTGCAGGTCATTCTGGCGCTGCAGCACTCCGGGGCGGGAGGAAAAACAGGGGCGAGAAGGAGGAAGAAGAGGAGGAGGAGGAGGAGGAGGGGGACGGAGGAGGAGGAGGAGGGGGACGGAGGAGGAGGAGGAGGGGGAGGAGGAGGGGGAGGAGGAGGAGGAGGAGGAGGAGGAGGAGGAGGAGGAGGAGGAGGAGGCTGAGTTCCCTCGCCTTCGTTTGTGGAGAGTCGTCCAGGCCCCCAGACGAGTGTTGCACTGGGACAGTTCCTACCTCCGAGCCCGAATGCCATCGTTGCTAGAGGTCGCAGGCTGATCAGGACGAGGAGAAGGAGAAGGACGAGGAGGACGAGGAGAGGACGAGAAGGACGATCAGGACGAGGAGAAGGTCACAGGCTGATCAGGACGCTACAGGAGGACGAGAAGGCTTCTCGTCCTCCTGTAGCGACGACTGCCCCCCCTTTTGTCTGCGTTGGATGGAAGGCTGTTTTGACCCTTGGCCCGCCTGCCCTGCTAGACAAGCAGTGCACCCACCCCATTCGGTCGGACCAGTCTCGAGAGGTAGGTGAGAGTCCTCGCGGGCAAACATCCCGGAATCAATGGTGTGAACCATGAGGTGTTTCCTGGGTAGTAAATGGCGGCGTAACGTGATGGATCCTCGTGCGGTCCAGTGCGCCACCCGCCTTCGTCTTTCCTCAGGCATCGTCAATGTAAATCCTTCTCCACCTCCTCCTCCTCCTCCTCCTTCTCCTCTTCCTCCTCCCCCCTCGTGTCGGTCGGCCAGGACGGCGACCGGCTAGATTGCCACGCCTGTTGCTGTCCCAGCCGCGTGGCCGATAGCTGAAAGGTACAGGCGGGGCTATGGCGGGGATGGCTGATGATAGATTGAGTGGGTTGGGCGCTACCACAGAACGTGCCGCTCAGCGTCGCGCCCAGTGCGTCGCAGAGGTTTTCCATTCTCATGTGATTCTCAGCCCATCTCGCTCGCCTCGCCTCGGCTCCTCGGGCAACTCGGCTGTGGTAGTTATTCGGTCCGGCGTCCTTTGCGTCCTGATCCTGGCGAGGCATGTCCTGTAGCAGAACTCTCGCGCCAGCCTCTCTTCGGATATGTTGGCGCGCCTCAGGCTGCGTCTACTCCTCCCCCTCGTGGCCTCCTTCTTCTTCGTCTTCTCCTTCTTCTTTTTCTTCTTCTTCTTCTTCTTCATGCCCTCCTTCATTGCTCATCGATTTCTTCGTCGTCTTCCTGGCATCTTCCGTTTTCGTCATCACCATCACCACCACCACCACCACCATCATCATCATAATCATATTCATCATCATCATCATCATCATCATCATCATCATCATCATCATCATCAGCATCATCATCATCATCATCATGATCATCATCATCATCATCATCATTACCATCACCATCACGATCACCACCACCATCACCATCACCACCACCACCACCATCACCATCACCATCACCATCACCATCACGATCACCATCACCAGTTACTTTACCATCATTTCATCATGATCACCATCATTATAGTCATCATCATCATCGTCATCACCACCACCATCATCACCATAATCATCATCATCACCATCATCATCATAACAATCACCGTCACCATCATCACCACCACCACCACCATCATCGTCATCATCATCATCATCATCATCATCATCATCATCATCATCATCATCATCATCATTACCATACGTAACCATTTTGGCTCAAGTTTGCTCTTCTCCAGATCTCTCGCAGGCGCCCACGCTCTGCGGTCAGCGGCGCGCGATTCGGAGATGAGCACTGGCTACGGGGGGCTGCCCGCAGGAGCGACGGCGGGGCGGCTCATCAGGCGTGTCAGCACCTCCATCGCCACCTCGCGCAAGGGAGCGAGGGCGGGCTGGAGGACGCGAAGGGCCTGCACAAACGCAAGTTCGGTCTGGACCTGGGCGAGGGCAAGAACCTCTGCGAGGACAGCTGGCTGAGGACCTGCAGGGCACGCACAAGCGCCAGCCTCGACCTGGTCGGGGACGAGGGTCTCTGCGAGGACGGCTGGAGGCCCGTCGGTTCAAGCCCGGCCGGTGCCTGGACAAGGACGAGGTCCTCTGCGAGGACAGGCTGGACGACTTGAAGGGCCTGCACAAGCGCGAGGTCGGTCTGAACCTGGACGAGGGCGAGAGCCTCTCCGAGGATAGGCTGGAGGACTTGAAGGGCATGCGCAAGAGCAAGTTCGGCTTGGACCTGGACGAGGGCGAGTGCCTATGCGAGGGCTGGCTTGAGGACCCGAAGGGCCCGTGCATGCGGGAGTTCGGCCTGGGCGCGGGCGTCGGCCTCTGCGAGGACAGGCTGGACGACCTGAGGGGCCTGCGCAGGTGCAAGTTCGGTCTGGACCAGGACGTGGACGAGAGCCTCTGCGAGGACAGGCTGGAGGACTCGAAGGGCACGCGCAAGCGCAAATTCGGGCAAGGTCTGGACGAGGAAGAGGGCCTCTGCGAGGGCACGCGGGAGGACCCGAAAGGCCCGCACAAACGCGACTTCGACTTGGACCTGGGCGAGGACGAGGGCCTCTGCTTCCTGTCTGCGGACGAGCTTCTGGCGGCGGGGGCCGCCTCCAGGCTCGGCCTCGCAGCGGCCAGCATCCTCCTGGGGGCCCCACTCGGTGCCCCGCAGGCCTTAGACGACCCTGAGCTCGCCTGATGTCTCTGGCAGCGCTTGCTGCGTACCAGCCCGCGGGAGTCGTGGGCTGAGTCGCCGTGACTGTTCGGATGTCGCATCTTGCTTGCTTCGGCTGGGGCGGGGGGCGGCCTTTCGGCAGTCAGGCGAATATGCGGGGGTGTCTTGGGCACGACACTGAGCGTTGCTTCCGCAGGGCCAAAGGGAAATGCCTCTGTCCGAGGGGCAGTCCGAGCGGGGAGCTCCTGACCCGTTCAGCCGCGTTGATCATCATCATCGTCATCATCATCATCATCATCATCATCATCATCATCATCACCATCACCATCACCTTCATCATCATTATCATCGTCACCATTATCATCGTCGTCGTCACCACCATAGCCATCACCACCACCATCAGCATCATCATCAGCCTCCTCCTCATCTTCTTCATCATCATTATCATCAATACCCTCTTCTTCTTCCTCCTCCTTCTCCTTCCACTCCTCCTCCTCCTCCTCGCTCCTCCTGCTTACCTCCTTTCTCCTCCTTCCTCCCCCCTCCTGGTTCCTCCTGGTTCCTCCTGCCTTCCCCCTCCCTCCCTCCCTCCCTCCCCTCCCGGCCCCTTCCTCCCCTCCGCTCCCCCGCCTTTCCCTCTCCTCCATATGTCTACAGAATTTCTGGAGGTCTTATGCTCACCCCAGCAGAGCCGAGAAGGTGGCAAGGTCCTTCCAAACCTGCTGTAGACTCGCTACGCGATCTCATCTTATCCCCTCCCGTCCCCTGTCCCGTTCATCTTCGGGCGGCCTCCTGGGCGTCCGCCCCCCCTCCCCCCCCGCGGCGAAGCTCGCGGCGAACAGGGGCCCCGGCGGCCCTCCAAGAGGGGGTGGGGGGGCCGCCGCGCGTCGCGGCCCGCAGGGCTCGGCGCCGTTCCCGTCGTCGTCGTTGTCGTCGTTGTCGTCGTCGTCGTCGTCATCGTCGTCGTCGTCGTCGCCGGTCGCGGCCTGCATGGCCCATTCTCCCAGGGGCAACGAGAGGGGGATAGGCATAGGGGGGATATGTCGACCCCCTGTCGCCCATTGATCGCCGAGAGGGGTCCGATAGCCCCAGCGTGCCCATGCGCGTGCGGATTCGTTCTTGGCGGCCTATCGCCGATATATTGGCGATGTATTACCGATTCCAGGTCGATGTTCCTTCCCTATGCCAGTCCCCTCCTATCGTTGCACCTCCCCGCCCGCCCTTTTCGGAGCCGCCGTTTTCAGCTGCCCTGTTTCCCCGCTTCCACTCCCAGGTCGCGCAGCTATGTATGCGTGTTCGGGCTTTGCTGTATTTCCGTTCTCGTGCTTCCGAGAGCGACTTGCGTAACATCGAAGCAGGTGCTCTGGCCGTTATGAGAGACAACTAAGGGGTGGACGACCTCCTCAGAAAGAAGGGCGAGGAGGAGGAGGAGGAAGAAGAACAGGAGGATGAGGAGGCGGAGGTGGCGGAGGAGGAGGAGGATGAGGAGGAGGATGAGGAGGAGGAGAACGATATATTATCACCCGTATGTGGACATTGTCCTGAGGTTCGGTGTTCGATCGTAGGCCCCTTGTTGCATGTACCCTTCCAGCTCTCGCGCCGAAGGCCGCCGGAAAGACCGCGGGAACCCGCCAGAGACCGCCAGCAGACCGCCCAAGGCCGTCAGAAGGCCACCGAAGACCGCTAGAAGAGCGCCCGAGGCCCATGGGTAAGAAGGGGTCCATGGCCGAGCACGTAGCTGACGGAGGATGAGGAGGACATCCTCCTCGTCGCCCTCCTCCTCCTCCTCCTGGGCAGGTGGCGGAAGGCTAGCAGAAGTCTGGTTTAATGAGGGCTGGCGATTTTTGGGACGACGCTCCGCCTCTCCTCCTCCTCCTCCTCCTCCTCATCTTCCCCCCTCCTCCTCATCTTCCCCTCCTCCTCCTCCTCATCTTCCCCTCCTCCTCCTCCTCCTCCTCCTCCTCCTCATCTTCCCCCCTCCTCCTCATCTTTCCCCCCCCCTCCTCCTCATCTTCCCCTCCTCCTCCTCCTCCTCCTCCTCCTCCTCCTCATCTTCCCCTCCTCCTCATCTTCCCCTCCTCCTCCTCCTCCTCCTCCTCCTCCTCCTCCTCCTCCTCCTGCGCGGCGCGCGGGGGGCCCTCAGGCGGCGGCGACGGCGCGTCGATGCGGGAGCGCCTGCGGCCGCTGCTCGACCCCGGGGCCCCCGCGGAGCCGGCAGGTGCCTGCCGCGGCTATTCCCGGGGAGGAGTCAGCAGGGAGCTTCGGCGTCGCCCCGACATACCTGTACTATTCGGGCCGGACGAAAGGGGGGGATTGGGAAAGGGGGGGTTACGAAATCTGCTGCATGCAGCTGGTTTCGGCCTCACCGAGGGGCCCATTCCTCGATACATAGCCGCTTCCGGCGCCGGGAGGCGCGGGGAAAATCAGCTACGTGAGCTGATTCTCAACCCCCCCCTTTGCTATCCCCCCTTTCGCCCGACCCGACTTTCCCGGGGAGGGATCAGCAGGGAGGGTCTCGAAGAAGAGAGCACGGCCAAAACATAGCCGTTGGAGCTCCGCGCATATCTCCTGCATCCGCGCAGGGATTCCCCTCCCTGGCACGCGGACTGCGCCAGGGGCGGCGTCGGAGGTGCCGCTAGGGAAGCCCAGCACCGATCCAAGAGATTCGTGCGGAGCTCCAACAGTTTATGTTTATGATGTTTTTTTTCGTCATCTAGAGTCGGGGGGAGGAGGAGGAGGAGTAGTTGACGATGAGGAGGACGAGGAGGAGGATGAGGAGGAGGGGGAGGAGGAAGAGGATGAGGAGGAGGAGGAGGACCAGTGTAAGCCCAAGAGTCATCAACGATGCTGGAACAAACCCTCCCTCCAAGCTCCCTCTTCATAGGCCTCTATAAGAGTGCATTTCCACTGAGAGAACTGCCTCGTTGGAAGACAACCGTTCGAAGAGCCTGAAGCGTGCCAAAACATGATTCTCGGGACTCCAACGACATGGATCAACCTGACTGTCGCGTCTTGACGGTCCTGAATCGTGCCATAACGCCATTCCTGGGACTTCGACACCGCGAATCAGCATAACTGTTGACCTCCATACTCCTGAATCTTTCCAGAGCGTCATTTCTGGTACGTTGACCATGGGAATCCGTGAAACTCTTGCAATTTGTCAAAAGGAATGTGCGCAGCGCTAAGGCAAAAGTCACATTTTGGACAGTCGCCGCCCTCAATCCGTGAAGCAATTGCACATTGTTTAAGCAAGTAATGTGCGCGGCTCTAAAATGAGAGCAACATTTTGAAATCGGCCCTCCTTCAAGCCGTGAAGCTCTTGCATTTAAAGAAACAAATGTGTGCGGCGCTATGGCGAGAGCCACATTTTGAAAACGGCCCGCCCTCCATCTGTGAAGCGTTAGGCCAACTTTTAGGTTTCAAGGTCATACATGTGGAGGAGGTCTCAGGCAAAACTCCCGGCTCGCCCTTTCGACGGGACTTGGGTGCGACAGGAAGAAATTATGTATACGGAAACAGAATGGAAGAGGAGGAGAAGATGAGGAGGAGAAGGAGGAGGAGGGAGGAGGAGGAAGAGGAGGAGGAGGAGGAGGAGGAGGAGGAGGAGGAGGAGGAGGAGGACGAGGAGGAGGAGGAGGAGGGCGGAGGAGGAGGAGGAGGACGAGGAGAGGAGGAGGAGGGAGGAGGAGGAGGAGGAGGAGGAGGAGGAGGAGGAAAGAGGAGGAGGGAGGAAGAGGGAGGAGGAGGAGGGAGGAGGAGGGAGGAGGAGTGAGGAGGAGGGAGGAGGGGAGGAGGGGGCGGAGGAGGACGTGGAGGATGATGATGATGATGAGGAGGAGAAGGAGGAGGAGGATGGAGGAGGAGGAGGAGGAGGAGGAGGAGGAGAAGGAGGAGGAGGAGGAGGAGGAGGAAGAAGACGACGAATAATAATAATAATAATAATAGTAGTACTAATAATAATACTACTAAGAAGAATAGCATGAATACTAATAATAACAATAATAATACTTATAATAATAATACTAATAATAATTGTAATAATAGTTATAATAATAGTAATAATAATACTACTACTAATACTAATGATAATAATAATCATAATCATAATACTAATAGTAGTAATTATAATAATAATAATACTAATAATAATACTAATAATAATTGTAATACTAGTTATAATAATAATATTAATACTAATAATAGTAATAATAATAATAATAATAATAATAATAATAATAATAATAATAATAATAATAATACTAATACTACGACTACTACTAATAATACTAAGAATATTAATAAGAAGAATATTATTAAGATGAAGAAGAGAAGAAGAAGAAGAAGAAGAAGAAGAGGAGGAGGAGGGTGAGGAGGAGGAGGAGGAGGAGGAGGAGGAGGAGGAGGAGGGGGAGGGGACGCGCACCCCCTCGCCCCGCGGACCCACATCCCGCGGCAACGCGCGACGGAGACCCCAAAACATACTACGCAGCCCCCAGCGGGCGTCCAGCGCCCTCTCGGCATGCCAGGGCCCACTTCGATCCCCCGATTCGACTCGATTCGGCTTCGATGGCTTCCGATTCCGATTCGATTCGACTTCGGATTTCGACTTCTCAATGGAGGCTTTGCTTGCCTGCCGATTTCCGCCGATGCGACTCCTCCCGAGTTGGCTGCCGACTTCCGCCGATCCGATTCATTTCGATCGCCGGTCCGACTTGCCGATTCGACTCTGCTCTCCTGCATGCCTCGGGTCATGGGCCGTCCCACGGGCGAGCTGCGGGGGGCGCTGAGTCGCTGGCAGACTGATGGGCTATAGTTCGGTCATTTCGAGCTCCCCTGTGTCTGCCCAGGGGAGTCCGCGTCGGGGCAGCGGTGGCGACAATGCGGTCGAAAAAGGGGGCGGGGAGAGGAGGCGGATCTCAGGATTCTGTGCACGTCGCGCCACGAGATTGGCGCGTCCCACGAAGCAACGAGCAAACGGAAAAACCGACACCAGGTATCCAGGTAAGGGGCTACAGAAAAGTTACCTTGAAGGCAGTTCCCGCATGATGGACATCACAATTATGGACCCTGCCCTGACGCTTCGCTCCTCCATCAAGCGCTGGAGGCGATATTTGTGAATGTCAAATGAAGGCTTCTTGGGGCAAGTCCTAGTGAGTTGAAATACGTGCAGGATGGGGGATGATGATGATGATGATGATGATGATGATGATGATGATGATGATGATGATGATGATGATGATGATGAGAAGGAGGAGGAGGAGGAGGAGAAGGAGGAGGAGGAGGAAGAGGAAGAGGAGGAAGAAGAAGAGGAGGCGAAGGATCATGCGGGATTATGGCGCTCTGCGACATAGGCCATTCGTAAAGAAAGGTCCTGATCGGGGGGGCACTGCACTTATACAGCACTATACACCCGAGCCATAGGATATTGATCCATCAGGTGGGTCGATCCGTGGTCGGGTGATATCCGTCCCGCAGCCTCTTAAGTAGCCCTCGAAGAAAGTATTAACTCCCTGGTTTGCAGCGCTGCGTCTTTAAAGCCTGCCACCGCTGGGTCGCGTCGCCAAACCAACCCAAACATGCTTCCAAGATGGCCCAACACAGCCTAAGATGGCCCCAGTACGCACCTCCTCCTCCTCCTCCTCCTCCTCCTCCTCCTCCTCCCCCTCCTCCCCCTCCTCCTCCTCCTCCTCTTCCTCCTCCTCCTCAGGTCCAACTTGCAGCCTGTTTCGGCCCGCCGTCCGACCCCTGACCGCCGCCTCTTCACGGAACACCGCAGCATGCTTGTTACTGTTCTGTTGCACTTCGGGGCGCAGGTTGCACGCGCTCCTAGGTGGCAGGCTATCTGAGAGACGAGTTTCCTTGCGCCCTCCGTGGCCGATGGTACCTCGATCGAGCCCCCATGAACGGAGGCCTCCTGGGGACCGATGGTGCTCTCGGTCTGTGCGGGCGGCTTCTTTGGCATGAAGGCGGAGGGCGCACGGAACGGCGACATGCGTGCTTCTCAGAGGAGATGCGCGCGAGACGCTCCTTTCCAAGACATTGGGGAGACGATACCAATCATCATCATCATCAGCAGCATCATCATCACCATCATCACCATCATGACCATCACCAACATCATCATCATAATCATCGCCATTCTCATCAAGTCAATCACCGCCATCATCATCAGCACGATCAACATCATCATCGTCGCCTTCATCACCATCACCATCGTCATCATCACCACCATCAGATCATCACCATCATCATCATCCCCACCATCATCATCATCATCATCATCATCATCATCATCATCATCATCATCATCGTCATTTTCGTCATCATCACCATCATCATCCTTATCAGCATCATCATCATCATCGCCTACGTCAGCATCAGCATCATCGTCACCGTCATCATCCTCCTCATCATCATCATCATCATCATCGCCATCATCATCATCATCATCATCATCATCATCATCATCATCATCGCCGTCGTCGTCGTCGTCGTCGTCGTCGTCGTCGTCGTCTTCATCGTCATCGTCGCTGTCGTCGTCGTCATCATCAATATCGGCTTTCGCATTATCATCATCACCACCACCATCACCATCATCATCCTCCCATCCTTCTCCTCCTCCTCCCCGTTGGCGTCGTCGTCGTCACCACTATCTCCATCATCATCGTCACCGTTACCACCATCGATGATCATCATCATCACCGCCATTCCCATCAGAACGGAGCTCTTGTCCTCACGCGTGGTGTGCCTCCACATTCACCAGCGACCTGATCATCTTCGTTGGTACCTGGCCGAGTCAGAATTCGACTGCTGCAGAGTGCTGTCCGCTGATCCTGCCGCCCCGCACGTTGGTTGCGTGCCATGCTCCGACCTCCCAGACTCTCGCCTCCCCCCTCCGCGTGCCGACTTCATCATTGTCACCACCATCATCATCATTCCCATTACCACCGTCGTCATCATCACCATCATCATCATCACCCGTTATCTTCATCATCGTCATCCTTATCATCACCACCGCCGCCATCAGCACCACCATCAGCATCAGCATCAGCATCAGCATCAGCATCAGCATCAGCACCAGCATCAGCATCAGCATCAGCATCAGCATCAGCATCATAATCATCATTATCTTCCTCACCATCAACAGCAACAGCAACATCACCATCACCATCATCATGGCCATGTTCATCATCATCATCATCATCACCATAGTCATCAGCATCACCATTATCAGCATCAGCATCGTCATCATCACCATCATCATCATCATCACCATCATCAGCATCATCGTCACCATCCTCATCTTCATCACCATCATTACCATCATCAGCATTATCATCATCATCATCATCATCATCATCATCGTCAGCATCTTGACTGTCACCATCACCATCACCATCATCATCACAATCATAACATCATCATTGCAATCGTCATCGTCATCGTCATCATCACCATCACCATCATCATCATCATCATCATCATCATCATCATCATCATCATCATCATCATCATCAGCGCCACCATCATCATCATCATCACCACCAGCATCATCATCAGCAGCATCAGCATCAGCATGACCATTCACATCACCATGAGCTTCAGCAGCATCATCATCATCACCATCAACATCCGTAGCCGGTTTGGCTCAAGTTTTTTCAGGCTCGGCCCCGCTTCGGAGCAGGCCACGGCCTTTCAGCAGACGCAGGCACCAGCAACCATGGCCGCCCGCCGCAGCTCCCGCACCCTGGCGTGCCTCATGCTCGCCGCCGCCGCGGCAGTCGCCGCATGGACGGGCTCGGCTGCTTTCGTGCCCATGGCGGCTCGCCGTGCCGCCGCTGGCGCCGCTGTGGTGGCCGCGCTTCTGGGCCAGCAGGTGCAGCCGGCCGTCGCCAGGGACGTGCTGCTGTCCGCGTCCGCGGACCCGAGCGAGCGGATCGCGGCGCCGATGATCGACAGCTCGAACCTGGTGAAGGGCGTGCCGTTCGCGGGGGAGAACGCCCCCCGGTATGCGCCACAGGTCGCCCAGTCCGAGGACGACCTGCTTTTCAAGGGGAACAGCGGCATCAATGTGCTGGAGTACGTGCGGGCTAAGAACGGCTGGGTGGGCCAGATGCAGTTCGACTCTGCAGCGGAGGAGGCGTCTGCGAACCAGCTCCTCGAGAAGCTGCGCTGAGTAGGCGGGGCGTGCCCGGGGACGGCGACGCCTTGTGGAGCTCCATCAGCTCCAAGGTCCGCCACTCATGTGTGTGTGTGTGTTCGGCGCACGTCACATGTGTTTTTTTCTCAACGCTCTGCGCAAGCGGATCATCATCATCACCAACACCATCATCACAATTACCATCACCATCACGACCATCATCATCATCACCATCATCACCACCACCATCATCACCATCATCATCAGCATCGTCGTCATCATCAACATCATCATCATCGTCGTCGTCGTCATCGTCATCATCGTCATCACCACCATCATCACCATCATCATCGTCATCGCCATCATCTCCATCATCATCAGCAGCATCATCACCAGTACCGCCATCAGCATCCGCATCATCATCATCATCACCATCATAATCATCATCAGCATACTCGTCATCAACACTATCTTCACCATCGTCACCATCAACATCATCACCATCATCACCATCATCGGCACCATCATCATGATCATCATCATCAGCATCATCATCGTCATCATCATCATCATCAACATCATCATCAGCATCATCATCGTCATCATCATCATCATCAACATCATCATCATCATCATCATCATCATCATCATCATCATCATCATCATCATCATCATCATTCGTAATCACCTTGGGTCAAGCTGTCCGGACGTCCCGACCCGTGAGCGCTCCGCGCCCGCCGCATGGCCAGGTAACCAGTTCTGGCGGCCTTCACGTCGGGATCGGGCACGGCGCTCTTTTGTGGGCGGGGGTCCTTCTCTCTCTAAGGCTCGGTTGACTCGAGCACCGTCCGAGAATCGAGATGCCTGAGGCTCTTGCAGGGCAGGCTGGGGAAGGGAGGGGAGTCGCAAGCGCTGGGTTGGCTCAAACGCTGGGCGAGGTGCACATGCCCTGGCCTTGGCTGGCGTGGCCCCCTCGCAGCGCAGCCTGCTTGAGGCCTGGAGCGGCCGTCGCCAAGCCATCACCTCTCGCGGCCTTGCCGAGGTGGACGGCGACAGCCGCGTGACGTGGCCGTTCCCGCCGCAGGCGGCGAGGGCCCTGGGGGGCGCTCACGTCAGACGCCTGGAAGCGCAAGGGAACGGAGGGGCAAGACGGAGGGCCACATCCTGGTCGCTCGTCGCCGCCTCTGGGGGCGACGACTGCAGCCATTTCGCGGCTCGCGGTCTCGAGCCGGAGGCGCTTCGGTCTGGGTTCGGCGTGGGGTCCACGTCCAACGGGTCCTGGGGCTTTCTGCGTGGTTGCAATACTTGTGGCGCAGGTTGTTTTTCTGGAGGGAGAACTCCGCACATGGGCTCTCTCCGGTGAGTATGTGGATGTGAGGGCAGTCGGGGGCGTAGCACCGCCGCCCATGTCTGCAGGTGTTGAGCAGAAGTGTTGACCCCTGCGGTCCTCCCCGGCCCGTGCGTCTCTTTGCAGGAGGGTCCCTTGGACGCGGTATGTTCGTGTGTGATTCGCTCTTTGCAGGTCTCGCTTTTCTTCGCCTCCGCTAGTCACCTGGCATATGCCGGTGGTGCTCTGTCCGCTCTTCGTGAGGTCCGCAGCCGAGGCTGCCTGGTCTAATGCTGGGGTACACGTCACGGGCACAACACCTGACACCCTGGCGATTTGTTGCCTGAGAGAACGCTGCGCAAATCATCGTAATCACCACCACACCCTTCCCATCATCATCTCCGTCACCATCACCATCACCATCACCATCGCCATCGCCATCACCATCACCATCACCATCACCATCACCATCGTGATCATCGTTATCGTGAACGTCATCGTCATCGCCATCGTCATCGTCTTCGTTAACAGCATCAACATCATCATCAACACCACCATTATCATCATCATCATCATCATCATCATCATCATCATCATCATCATCATCATCATCATCATCATCATCATCCATCATCATCATCATCCATCATCATCACCATCACGATCATCATCACCACCATCATCATCATCATCATCACCATCATCATCATCATCATCATCATCATCATCATCATCAGCATCACCATCATTTTCAGCGTCACCACCCTCGTCTCCAATTGTCATTTTTATCTATATTCGTCATTGTCATGATTGTCATCACGGCCTAAGTTGAACAACATGCGGATTAGCACGTCTGCTTAAACGATTGCCGGGTTTGGAAGTTTGCGAGGGGGACGTGGCCCCACCCTGGCTTTCTTCCCTTCTTGCAGGCAGGATCTCTATCTAGGACGGGCCCAGGGAACGCATTGGACGCAATTTGAGGGCTCAGGTTCTCATCCCCAGTGCGGCATATCCCTCTCACTCGCCCTTCCCCTCTTGCTCCTCCTGTTTTCCCTCCTCGTCCTCCTCGTCGTCCTTGTACCCGTCCTCGTCCTCATCCCCCTCCTCCTTGTAATGGCCTTCTCCTGCTTTTCCTCCCCATTGTCGTTGTCCCTCTCCTCCTCGTCGGCTTTGCTCCGTAGTTATTTCTGTCTTTTCATTTTGGCCAAAAGCTTGTTTAGTTCAATGCCGCTTCACCACCTGCTTTGTCTGGTCTTATCTTTGAGCGCTTCAGCTTCCTCAGCAACGAGCTCCACATTTTCACCCGAATGGCACACGTTAGGCCCTTTCGCGGCATCTCCAGACGACGAGGCCGTGGATCCGCTTGGTCGATGGGGCGGGATTGCTGCTTTTACACCTGGGGTGGCCTGGCCTCGTGAGTGGTCAGTCGCGTCCAACTTAGCGGAGAGGGTTCACTGGGGACGCGCGAAATCCATAGGACCTGCAGCCAACTCTGGTCAGGTGCACTTGCAACTGCGCGCCTCAGAGCCATGGGCCGCGTGGGTCGTGGGGACTCTCGAAGGTAAGGGCAAGCACTGTGTCGAGATCCTTTTCCAGTCAGTGGTGGAGGCATGGATCGTGTCGCCTCGCGGTGGCCGTCGTCTCATCACACATGGCGTGGTGATGAAGCTGGGAGGCGGAGACTACCGAGTGGAGGCGCTTGTGCGATCGACATCCCCCGCTGCGGGTTTCGCTTGGCAACTGGCCAAGTGCGGGGGTCTTGAAATTGCGCCTCTCGCCAGGAGTTGGGAGCTGGGACATGATATGCCAGACATATACGATGGCCAAGTTCTCGGTGGCCTGGTTGCTGCAACCATCACCAACCATAATAGCAAATGGGCCCGTCGGGTATCCCTGCGAGTGGGTCCTGGATCAGCTAGCGTGGTTAGACTCGGCGCAACATCCGACGAAGTGGATTTGGCGCCTCTGCAAAGTGTGAGCCTAGCCGTCCCAGTGTCCCTCAACATATCGCAGCTGGGGACGACTGTGTCATCCTTCCAAGCAGGAGAAGCATCCTCTTGCCCTGGCGGCGGCAACAACCTTGCAGTTGAGCTGCAAGTTTGGAGTAAAGACGACGCCAGAGACAACTCTGAGGAATCAGCCAGACATACCTCTCCTTCTTTCAAAAGAGCGAGGACCGTGCGCCTTGACTGCCGGCAACGACACGATCGGCTGACTTTCATTTATGCGAAGGGTTTCTCCCGATGCCGCGGGCCCCCGCTCATTGCTTGAGTGGATAAGCTTGTTCGGTTAGTTAGTTTGTTGGCTTGTCGGCTGGCTGGCTGGCAAATCGGCTGATGGATTGTTGTCAAAATTATGGAATGGCAGCTGGCTTTGGCTGGTTGCTCGGTGTTGGTTGCGTGCATCTGTAACAATTACTAATTATTGATAGCGGCTACGGTAGCGCGCTTCCACTGTAATTTACCACGGTTCGCGATTTCGGGAGCGCGCACCCTCGCCAGTAAATTCGTGGCCTCGGGTCCAGGGCAGACTTTTCAGGAAATGACGGGGGGCCGAAAACCGCCCCCCGAACATATCTCTCTACACAGGAGGGGGGGCACGGGAGGGCAGCTTCTGCCCCCTAGCAGTTGTTCAGCTCTGGAGGCGGCGGGGGGGTGGGGCGCTCTTGTGCTGTTTGGTGCCTCCTCCTCTTCCTCCTCCCCCTCCCCCTCTTCCTCCTCCTCGTCCTCCTCCTCCTCCTCCTCCTCCTCCTTCTCCTCCTCGGGAGCACGATCCTGCACGAAGGTGTCCGGTTGCGCTGCCGCGCACCTCCGCCACCGCGCTGTGTGAGAGCGGCCCAGCGAGACTGCAGTGTGGCAAGGCGGGCAAAGCCCTGCCCGACACACAGAGTTCACCCGCTCGCATTGCCCATTGCCTCCCCCCCTCCCCCACACACACACGCACAGATTGCACCACAGAGCGGGCCCGCGCAGTGGAATCGCTGCCGCGTGGCTTGCGTGGCCGCAGCGACTGGGAATGTGTTGGGCGGTGGTATGTTGCCCGAGTTGTCGCGCGAAGTCGCGTTGAGGAGGAGCTGCCGTTTTCTCGGGGACTTTCGAACGGTGCGCTACGAGAGCACGCAAGCGCGCCAGGCAGAGCCCGCGATTGTAGGGCGTGGGCTCGTGGAAGAGCATTTGCAATATTCACTACAGAGAACTGAGAGAGACTCCTCGACACTCTTGCCAGTGCAGTTTCATGTAATCTTTTCCATGTGCCGTTGAAGGTGGACATGGCTTGGACGTCAAACGAAACGCAGCCTGCGCTAGTGAAGGTCGACCACAAGCGGACATCAGCATTCAAAGCAGCCTTTGTCGACGTTGCTCGCTACGTGTGTCGATGTCCTCACGGGGCCTCTCGAGGGCCTCTTCGGGGCCTTCTGGGATGCTCTCGGTGGCTTCTTGGGGGCTTCTCGGGGGTGTCGCGGGGCCTCGTGAGGCCTCGTGAGGATGTCTTGCAAAGCCGCGTGGATCTCCTTATGGACTTCTTGGGAGTTTATTCGGGGCCTCTTGGGGTTTCTCGGGGGCCTCCGTGGGGCCTCTTGGGGGCCTCTTGAGGGCGTCGCGGGGGCCTCCTGAGCAAGAACCGCATATTTTTGCCCTGTTGAGCCTCTCGTAGGCGTCCTGGGCGGCGTCTTGTTGTCCTTTTGGGCGTCCATGGCGCCCCAGGGCGTCAATTTTTGAGGAAATGTGGGACTGGGGTGGAGACCACCTCGTCCGATTGGGGGGCAAGACGCGCCGCCATGAGAAGACGGGGGAAGGGGGAAGGAGTGGGAGGGCGTCCGGGAGGGGGTAGGGTCGACGGACCCGTGCGTTCGATTCTTCAGTGTCTGGCCCATGTTCTGCCAGGAAGGCCCAAAATTGCAGGAGCGTGCATTCAAACACGGGTGCGTGTTGGGTTCGATGCGTCGCGGGGCTCCAACTGTTGCCTCGCAGGGTGCGAAACGTGCAGAAGGAAGGGCCCAGCGCACTCGAACCGCTGGCAGCGCGGCGGTGGACAAGGGCCCGTGGCTTCGGGAGCACGATTGCGTGTTCGGTTGCAGCGGACTGCGGCCTCGGGAGCGCGATCGCGCTGCAGTTTACAGCGGGTTGTGGCATCGGGAGCGCGAGCGCGTCCTACTTCACAGAGGGAATCGTGGCCTCGGGGGCGCGAGCGCGGTGTAATCTGCAAGGAGGTCCGGGGGAGCGCAGAAGTTGTAATTCATGAAGGCTTGTAGCTCCGGGAGCGCGGATCGGTCGTAACTCGTGGCCGAGGGAACGGAGAACTGAAGGACTGTGGCCTCGGGAGCGCGAGCCTGCTATGATTTTTCCCGTGGTCTGTGGTTTGGGGAGCACGAGCTCGTCGTAACTTCAAAGGGGTGGGGGCCTCGGGAGCGCCAGCGCGTCACAATTCACGAGGGGTCATGGCCGTGGGAGTGCGAGCTTGTTATTCCCAACCCTCCTGTGTTGGGTTTTCGTTCTGAAGGGAGCACTGCGGTCGCGACTCCTCCCGCCTCCCTCCTCCGTCCTCCTGCCTTCTCCTGCGCTGCTCCCTGGGTGGCTGCGAATTGCGCAGCTGTCGACACTTCCGTGGGCTCCTGGGAGGCACGGCGGATAGGGGAATAAACGGACCCAGCCGGGACTTCGCTGCGCCTGGGCTGGCTGCGAACTGCGCAGCTGTCGCTACTCGCGTGGGCTCCTGGGAGGCACGGTGGAGTGGTGGAGTAAACTGACCCAGCCGAGACCCTGCTGCTCCTGGGGTGGTTGCGAACTGTGCAATTGTGGCCACTTTCGTGGGCCCCTGGGAGGCACGGCGTAGTTAGCGGAGTGAGCGGACCCAGATGGGACCTCGCTGCTCCCTCGGTGGCGACGAACTGTACGAAAGTCGCCACTCTCGTGGGCTCCTGGGAGGCGCGGCGGAGTGGCGATGTGAACGGGCCCATTTTGAGGGCTACCTGCTCCCTGGGTGGCTGCGAACTTTGCAGTTGTCGCCACCTTTGCTAGCTGCCGGGAGGCCCAGCGGCGTCGGGGGCCATGCGCGCCCATTCGAGGCCTCGCTGTTCCCTGGCACGCTGCGAACTTCGCCACTGTCGCCGCTTTTGTTGGCTACTGGGAGGTCCATCGGAGTCGGGGCCCACGCGGATGCAGCCCAGACCTCCTCGCGGCTCCCCGGGAGACTACGAAGTGCGCAATTGTCGCCATCTTCGCAGGCTTGTGGGGGGGGACGGCAGAGACAAGGGCAGCGCAGATAGTGCATATCTGGCGATGCGATCTTGTGTATGGAGCTCTCACGCAAATCGTCGCCTCGCGTGGAGGCGGGGTTGGGTACGTCTCGGGCAATTCTGTGTTAGGGATTGTGGCCTCGGGGACGCAAACTCGCACTAAACTGCGGCGGGTTGTGGCCTCAGGAGCGCGAACCTGTGGTTGTTTAAATTAGGCATTGTGGTTTGGGAGCGCTACGGGTGGTGGCTTCGGGGTCGTGGACGCGGGGTATTCTGCAACTGATTGTGGCGTCGGGAAAGCGAACTTGTTATAATCTACAAGGGATTGTGGCCTCGGGAGCCCGAATCTGTCGTATTTTACGTGTCTCAGGACCCCCATCAATATGGGCAGCGTGATTCCGGGAGGTGGGCTGGGTGGTTCTTGGGCGGGGGTCTTCGCACAGATTTCACTCACTACGATCATGGAGCTAGAAACTCGATGACTACCACGGTGGGCAAGGGGCGCTGAAACTGCTGCAGGGTGCAGGGAAGCCCGTCCCACGCAGCTTGTTGGCTCCCGAGGGGGCTGGCGTATCTGGATTTCGACAGAAGCCCTCAGGTGGCCGCTGTGAAGCTGCCTCAGCGGCCCGAGCTTTGCGCCAGAGCTTCCGAAGCTGGACACGGAAGAGTTGGGTGCCCCGTGCTCTTCTCCATGCACGGAATGGATGTGACGGCGCAGAGACAGGCGGACTGTTACCGCCCACGAGACAGTGTCGTTGTATTGGCGCCTCTCGGGCGCGGCACCCATGGCTATAATTGGCAAGGCCCTGGCCACTGGTCAGCTCTGGCCGCCCTTGAGGCGCTGCGTGCACTCGGCGCTGAGCTCCGAGAGGCCTTGTCTGTCGATGTGGGCCGCGTTGTCTTCACTGGTCACTCTAACGGTGGCTTTGGTGCTTGGATGCTTGCTGCCCTGTCGCCCGACCACGCATTGGGTGTGGCGCCATTGAGCGGTATGGCCATGATAGGCACGACTGAGTTCAACCGACCTGCACGTGTGTCCAAGAGTCTCTATAGGCTTTGGCACCAAAGCGTCTTTGAGTACCGTGGTTCGGAGCTTGCGCAAAATCTCGTTCCCGTTCCCTTTTTGGCACGCGCTGGTCGTCTCGACCGGACAATTGACCCAAGACAAACAAGTAAGATGCACATGCTCCTGAAGGATGCCAAGCACCCAGATCCAAAGGTCTCCTTGCTGGATGGCAAGGAGCACTGGTGGTGGGACACTGAGAGCGAAAGCGACGGCGGCGTCATGGATGATGGCGCTATGCGCAGCTTCTTCGAAGATGCGTTCTCGCGGCCCATCGCTGTGAACCGATCTTTTTACTGCCGCAACCCGATGTCATGCGGGACGCTGAGCGGAATCCGGATTCTCAGCCACCAGGATGCAGCCCAGCAGTCGAAGCTGCGTGTGAGAGTGGACCCGGATCAGCCACGATTCACGCTGGATACCAGCAACATCCGCCGGCTGCAGCTTGGCCCCTCAGGGCGTTCCTTTGTTATCGACGGTGTCGCGATAGAAGGAGATAGGGATGGCATCATTGTTTGTCGAGATTCCGACAAGCAGAAGGATAAAAAGGCAGGCAAGAGTTGGAAGACTTGTACAGGTGAGCAGGGCGCAACTGGATGCTGTGGTGATGCGAGGGACGCCCTGCGCGGGAACCTGGGACCACAAAGACGAGTATGGGCGCGGCCGGTGGTGGTTGTTTATGGCACGACTGCTGGTACGAAGGAAAGCGTGCACTTGCTAGATGTCGCGTTGCAGTTGGCATTGCCCTGGCGGACTGTCGCGAGAGGTAACTTGCGGATAGTCTCTGATGTGGAATGGCTTGATGAGCTGAATTCTGTATGCATGGACGCTCAGACCTCCCCTGATGGCACATGCTATGCAGCGCCCAGGAGCCTTCACGGCGGGCTGAGTGTAGGTGACGATCATCCTGCTGCTGAGAACGCGATATTGGTCGGAGGGCCAAACGTGAATGCAGCCGCGGCGGCCGCCCCCTTTTGGACGCGTCTTGTAAACAGTGCAGGCGTCTTATCCTTGGGCGAGCCCTGTGCGCCCATGACCAGCTTTGCGCTGACAGCCCTGGGGCCAGGCCGGCAGTCAAGTGGGTCCCTTGAGGTTCTGCTCGCAGGCAGCACAACAGATCTACTGGCGCAGGCCCGCAAGTTGCTGGTGTCCAGAATGTTCGACACCAATTCTTGGCAAGGCCGGGGGCTAGAGTGGGCAATCGCAAACGGGACAGACGGGCTTTCGAGCGTAGTTTCGGTTGGGTATTGGGGTCCTAACTGGGAGCGGTATCATGGAGGTGCACTTCACCTTGACTGTCCTCGACGGTGACGCGACAGCTGGCAACGTGGGACGAGCTTCTTTGAGTTCGCTTTTCCGCCATCACATCACCACACACCAACCACCCCAACCCAACCCGAAGGCCCCAATGTGCCCTCCATTCCCAGTGGGGTGGGCGTCGGGGAACACTGGAAAAAACATATGGAACCAGTGATCCCCCCAACCCGTACTTTGGGTCTTCGGGTTGGGTTGGGGTGATCTGGAAGGTCGTCGAATATTGCCACCAGGAGTGTTGCGGCGTATCGTGTCCCAGACCGACGACGACCATGTTTTCGAGCCTCGGGAACCCCGATCTCTCTCGACCTCTTCCTCGGGACATGCCTTTAAGGCCTGCGAATATGTTTGGCCTGATATTTCCGAGTCTCCAGATGTCCGGGTCCCTCGTCGATGTCGTCGTCGTCCTCCTCCTCCTCCTACTCCTCCTGGGGATGTCCTTGCAATGGTCAGGGAGGGGGGCGAGCTTTTCTTTGCCCTCCTGTGCGGGCGGCGCCCTGTGCGGAGTCGGAGAGCAGCGCTGCCTGCCTTCCATTCGTCGAGGAGGCGGAGGAGGAGGG